GGTAACGATAACAAAAAATGGCGGATGGGAAAGACAGCATGTCCTCTTTCCCGCCTTTAGGCATGATTCACAGATAAGATTTCCTTTTTAACTAGTTCCATTCGGTAACATGGATGGTTATAAAGACTGGGTCAAATCTGCCAGATGGTTTACTAGAAGGGGAATATAAAGCTGAAAACTTACCGACTGAGATGTCCAAGTGCATATTTTTTATTCCATTCTCGTGATTTCTCAGTATATGTGCCTCAGAGCCACTCAAACTATTAACAGTAAGTAAACTGTGCATAAACCAGCCATAAAATGACAAATCCAAAACAGGAACGTGGTCATATTGTAAATAACAAGGTTTCAAACGCAATGTCGTTAGACGACTACGTATGAATTCTCGCGGTAAGATGTACATTACATATTTAGCGAACGGTTACGTGCATGTATGTACATCTTTCAAGTTAAGGCTGCTAGTTGTGATAGCCTCTTTCCATGTAATTGTTATAATGGGTAAGAAATGGAATATTGAATTACTTATATTTGTTTTCAGGACTCGCAAGAGACGCTCTTGTTTGAGCCTCTATTGGGCAAGGAAATAAGCGTGTCTTGCTTTATTAATGAAACCAATTTAAGTCAAAAAGATAGCAATGAAGAGGCAAAAGAAGAATTAGCATCAAGTACTGATGAATATGACAAAATTAATAACAGTGAATCTGGGATACATATATGAACAAGGTTCGTGTAACCGTCAATCAATTTTTGGCATAACCACAAATTAAAAATACAATATTATGGCTTAAGCTACGTTCACACCAATGGCGCTTTAAAGCGGCTTGTAAAGCGGCACCAAAGCGTAACAAAGTTTGATTAAAGCGTCGGGGTCGTAATAGGTAGTAGAAAAGCTCAGAGTAAAGTGGGATATTCGGCAAGAGCGTTGAAAAAGAGACAATTTTACGCCCTGGCAAAGTTTATCACCACTCCACCAACGCCCAGTCAAAGTTTGGCACCGCTAGACGCAAGTTTGTGGACGCTTGAATCCGCTAGACCAACGCAGAAATCAAGTACTGATGAATATGACAAAATTAATAACAGTGAATCTGGGATACATATATGAACAAGGTTCGCGTAACCGTCAATCAATTTTTGGCATAACCACAAATTAAAAATACAATATTATGGCTTAAGCTACGTTCACACCAATGGCGCTTTAAAGCGGCTTGTAAAGCGGCACCAAAGCGTAACAAAGTTTGATTAAAGCGTCGGGGTCGTAATAGGTAGTAGAAAAGCTCAGAGTAAAGTGGGATATTCGGCAAGAGCACTAAAGATTTAAACTGTTCAAGCTACGTTCGCACCAACGGCGCTTTGATGGCGCTTTAAAGCATCTTCATGCCAGATCATAGAAAATCTTGAGACATCTTAACGAAGCGTGTCAAGTGGTAATTGACAGTGAAGAGACTGGGGTCCCCGCTTTGAACCAAGCTCTGTTAAGCTTTCCTACGCTTTGGGTCAAGCTTTGTTGAGCTTTGTTACGGTTTGTTAAGCTTTGATACGCTCTCGGCGCTTTAATCAATTCGTAACAGAGCGCCAAAAAATTTTAATCAGTTTAAATTTTTTGGGGCCATCTTGCCGAATATCCCGCTTTACTCCGAGCTTTTCTACGACCTATTACGACCTATTACGACCCCGACGCTTTAATCAAGCTTTACGCTTTGGTGCCGCTTTACAAGCCGCTTTAAAGCGCCATCAAAGCACCGTTGGTATTGGTATATGTAGGTTACATCTATATACCCCGAGGTCGTTAGGCAATGTAGACCATGCCCTAACGACAAAAATAAACAAATTACTAAATTTTGTGTAGTTTTGAATTTCAAACTCAACAGTTTTTCGCTTATTTCACGTTATCCCCAGGCATCAATTTGCAAAGAATACGTTTAAAATATACATTACTAAATGCATCACCGAATGCGATGTCTACAAAAATCTTTCATTGATACACAGTAGAAGAAAATACTGCACCAACCTTAGTTTTCTGTTCCATCGCGGCCATTTTATTGGATAAATCAGTGATCGTAGTCGTCAAATCTCGTTTTCAGAGGTGTCGTAACCGTCATGCTATAACACCGTGGAAATGTTTGGAAGAGTATGCACTCAGTTTTGTGATTTCTGACCAAAACACTGGCGCGCAGCTTGTGTTTTATTACTTTTTTCTTTCAGGATCATCTGATTTAAGGCCCGGTCACACCGCCTAAACGTTGCTGGAGCGTTCCTTGAACATTGAAAAAAATCATCAACGCTCGTAAACGTTTACCACCGTTTAACAAAAGTTGGCATCCGTTAAAGCAACGCTGTAAACGCTCGGCCAACGCGGATGTTTCTCGAGTGGCCATCCTAACGCTCCAAAAGTTTTGAGCTGCTCAAAATATTGCGAGCGTTGAAAAAGGGACAATTTTACGCCCTGGCAAAGTTTATCACGGCTCCACCAACGCCCAGTCAAAGTTTGGCACCGCTAGACGCAAGTTCGTGGACGCTTGAATCCGCTAGACCAACGCAGAAATCTTAAACGCTGGACCACCGCTGCTTCGCCAGTGTTGCCCGGGCGGCGATTAAACGTTGCACAAAACGTCGGTGGAGCGGTTGTTAGCGTTTTATCAGCGTACATGGGGTTGTTGGAACGGTGTCGGAGGTTGTCGCAGCGTTCCATGGCGGCGATGAACTTTGCTTTGGCGTTGGTATAGAGGTGTCCGAGCGGGACCAGAATTTGGCTATAAATACGTGGAGAAATGCACCACTGTGTAGAACACTGTGGAGACACTTGTGCATTTTACATTTGATATATATTCATGTCTTGCATTTTAATTTTTTGCATTGTAAATTCCTAAATTAAGCGCTCAAAGTTTGTGATTTTGGATTTTAAAAAGGTGAATTATGCGATTTTTGTTTTTCATTAAATGTTAATACAAATAGACTTTTACTGAGACCTTTATTTAAGGAATAAATAATGATAGGCCATTCAATATGGTGAAATTCAGCACGAGTTGGACAGAATGTTGTACAAAGCACGAACCGAAGGTGAGTGCATTTGTACTAACATTCTGTCCAACGAGTGCTGAATTTCACCATATTGAATGGCCTATCATTATTTATTCCGATTCAAACATAAAAATTAGTAAAAGCCGTGTCTGTGGAACGGGCATGAAGGAAGAATACGCATGCTGTCAAGATTCTGAAGTCGGCCGGAAATTTTTTTAGAATTTGATTGGTTGAGATGTGACGTCAGAGCCCCAGATGTGCAGCTGAGATGTGACGTCACTCAAAACAATGCAAATTGCAGATTGAATAGAGCATGGTCGTGCATCTATGGAGAATTAGAGAACGTTCTATATTGGCTATGCTGCATTCTGATTGGTTGAGAAATTCGAATAGAGCACGGTCATGTTTGAATCAAATATAGTATATACCTAGTGTTTTCACGTCAAGCAATTCAATAAATTATCTGTGAATTTTCTGCGCAGCTTGTAAAATGTTGCACTCGTCATGGTATTATACAAAAAGTTGATGCGCGCACAGCAATGCAAAAATTTGTCATGCGTCATGATTATTACTTTGCTAAAAATGTTATTTGACATTGTTAAAGCAATTTGAACGTAAATCGGTTCCAAGTAATGGAAATGCAACGATTAAATTGTGATATGTTTGTTTGAAATGATATGAGAGATTATTAAAGAAAATTGTAATGTTATTCATTCTTAATGTCATATTACATTAATAGAAGCACTTTAGATTTAAAACATTTCTTCTTTAATCCTTGAAGGACTTTTGTTAAAGTTACAAATTCCAATAAAGGCCTTTACTCTTAAACACTTCCCACTTGAAATAATTTCCCAGTAGTCAAACGCGATATGCTGCTAAACCAACGCTGCTGCTATTCATACCTGAACAAACGCTAGCTACCGCTCGCAACCGCTTAACCAATGCTAAAGCAACGCCGGCTTCAGCGGTGCACCGCTAAGCCAACGCCAGTGTTTTTTTTTTTCCCCATTTTGTGCGCGTTGACGAGCGTTGATGAATTTTTTCAACGTTCAAGGAACGCTCCAGCAACGTCCGGGCGGTGTGACCGGGCCTTTAATACAAAATATTTTGTACTGGGTTGAGATTTACCTATGAAACAAAACCCAAGTACATGTACATGTATTTTCTATTTCTATGAAAAGTGCGACATCAACTAATATGTGTAGATAATTGAAAAACCAATGACAATTTTTTTTATTTATCTGCTTATATTTTAAAACCTACATTCATCTAGACATAGTTTTTTTTGCTTTCACATGCTAGAATCATATAATCGCCACAGAATGGACGTGTGGAACTATAAAACAATGAAGAATAAATGTCTTAAAATGACATTCGAGAATACAGACTCCAACTTGTATGATGTAATGTTGATATGTGCACAGTTTGTCAGTGTTTCAAACTGCGTGCATAGTATGCAAGCAGTTTGGATATCGTGCCATGGTTCTATTACCTACATATTCAATATAATACTGATATGTTACAGCTTTGTGGAATTTTTAAAAGGTACCCCGATATAACGTGTTTATAATAGAACATAAGAGATTCACCCACCTCTTGTTTATAATAGAATATATTATAAGAGATTCACCCACCTCTTGTTTATAATATTATTTTCCTGCGGATGAATTATATCTCTGTTCGCCATTTCAAAAGGGTGATGCATTACTTTTGAAATCTAAATGCTCATCTGTCAAGGGAGAATTCACCTGGTTTGATCCCCGTTGCTGTATGGTTGCTCACCGTGATGTAAGAATGACACCTTTTGGCAATATATAATGGTGACCATTTTGGGACATGATTTCTAGCATTGCCGTCTGACACTCATTAGATTAGTCTGATAGGATTTGCTATGCCTTGGCATTGCTATTATTTAATTTATTTCCATTTCAGGTAGGTAAACCCAAACAACATAATAAAATCCTATTTGTGTATCATTTTAGATATGGAAGATGACCCAAATGATGGCCAAACAGAAACATACAGTTATGAAGATGCTTTAAAATTGACTGGTAAATATCCTCTCATTTGTAATCAAGCATATACATTTAGCAAAGATTCTTAGGTAAAATATTATAATATTACATTTAACTGGGCCCATAACTTTGTTTATTTTTTGTGGAGCCTGCACTAAGTAAAATTACAATTTCTCTGCACCATGATGTCCAATCAAGATCATTCGTTTTCTGGGACAATTGGGCATTAGGGAATGACAATGTCTGCACAAAGTTTGCACGCTATATTGACATAGCTTATGACTGAAATCGGGAAGACAGAAAGGTGTGATATTCTCTCAGAATTACTTATAATAACTATTTACATAAATGTTTGTTTTATAGTCAGACAACCTAGAGAAAACTGGAAAAACTGCAAATTTCAATATGCAATGTTTTACGTTCATGTATTACAAGAAAAGTAAATCTGATCTCTATGTAAAACACTGACGTATGTGACATGTACTAATATGTTCAAACTGTAATATACTGTAGAACCTTTTCAACATGGCATTTGCTTCCCTGTTCTGTATACCCCTCTGCCTCTCCTTGCTTAATAAGGCAATGTATCTTCAAATAGTACATAAGCCAACTAAATTATAATCTCGAGAACACTTTTGCAAATAGTTTTCACAAACATTAATTTTGTTATGTATCTCAACTTTTGTCCTCCAAATTTAAATTGTAAATGACACCAATACAGCATGCAAACTTTAGGGAGATATTGTCATTCCTAGATGACCAAAGATCTCAGGAACCATAAGTAATTAAAGGCTGACCTTTATGTAAAACGTAATACTAGTATTTGGACATATTTTATTTTTACAAATTCAACAACTGACTAAATTTGGGATTCCTATATATTATGAAATGACATCGAAAAAATTAAAAATAACTTTGTTCAAGCCAGGATTCAAACCATGGTTTGACCATGTAGGAAGCGAACAGTTAGAGGAGTGGTCAATGAAGATTATTCATTTGAACAGCTCTTCGTCATATTCTGAGGGGAGAATTTTCAAGAAATTGGATGGCCGGCAAACATCTAATCAATCGAAAGATCAATTGTGATAACAACATCTTTATCATGAGTATTTGTACAAAATCTTTGCCTGATTTGATCATCATCATACGAGTATATCCTCTCATTTTTGCTCAAAATATCACCAGGGACATCAGAACAACCCATGATTGCTTTTTATCTACAGGTGCAGGTTTAAAATATCTTGATTTGACATCATGGTGCAGAGAAATCTTAAATTTACTGAATAACTCCTCAAAAAATTTTGAACACCTCTCTATTGTGAACACCTGTTTTTAGTGAACACCACTTGAAGACACATTTTATGACTGTTGTATAAAATCCCATTTCTGTAGTGAACATCTACCTTCAGTGAATACTTTATGTGGCTCCAAAGGTGTTCACTCTATACAGGTTTTACTGTTATACCATGTATATTTTCAGGTTATGGCAAGTTTCACATGCTTGTGCTAGCACTGAGTGGCTGGGCAGTGTCCAGTGATGCAGTCGAGGTACTTGCAATATCCTTTGTACTGCCCTCAGCTGAATGTGATCTCCGCATGTCCAGCTCTGACAAAGGATTACTGAATGCCCTCCTCTTTGTTGGTAAGAGTAGCAATATCTACTATCAGTTAGTTTCACTTTCACTCCATTATGATCACATAATCACATTTTGTAACCAATCCCTGGAACCAATTATTGCTAAACCACTAGATGGCATGGAAACATAGTTTATTTTTTAACTCCGATGTTTCATTAGCAAAGCAAATACCTATTCCATAGAATGGATTTGCAGGTTCTTTCATTTCTGTTTGAAGTCCAATAATGCTAGAAAATATAGGTATTGAAAATGGCGTGTAAAGATACTAAAATGTTTCCTAATATAAGCTGTTTATATCATGGACTTTCTCTTGAATATTTACATATGTTTATATGAGTCCCACAATTTTTTTATCACACCACTGTCATTATTTAAGGATTTAGCCCTCAGTGGCTGAATCATTCCATTGAAGGTGTTGTTTCCAAATCTATGCATGACTGCACAGCGGGAATGCAAAGTTTAGGATGAAGCAGTTGAATGAAGTAGCCACAATGCAGTGAGTCTTCATTCTTTTCACACATTACAAAATATTTTCAATGAAATCACCTAAGAGATACAAAATCACTTCAAGAACATATTTTCAATGAAAGTTTTTGCAAGAGTCAAGTTGGCAAAGCATCAGTTTCAATCTGTAGTCCAAGTTTCACCTTGACAACCGTACTACAAATGCATTATTGGTTTATTACGGAATACAGTTACGTGAAATAGTGTGTTCTGATTCACTGGAATTGGACACACCTTGCCTAGCTATGTGTGAAATCATTTTAAGTCTTCATGTTGATAGTGTGATTGTGATCGTGATCTTTATCGGAATAGTTATTGTGAGATGTACCACTTTTTGTCATCCCGGTCCCAGGAAAACTGGTCATTTTCTTCAAATTCTTCCACCTGATAGAGGATACCAAGAGCTGATTAAGTTTTAGATGTCCATCTAGTTACTCGCTTACCAGTTTGATTTTCAATCAGAAAACTTCATACCTTGGTAGTCGAAGATGCTAGCTTTTCTTGTGGCCATTTTGGATTTCGGTTAATGTTGTGGCATCAAGTTTCCAGGGAAACCACTCTTTGGATTTTCTTATTCTTACAGAGAATAACAAGTTCTAGAGGTGACTTACTTTTTGGTGGCGATTTTGAAAGTGAGGTAAACAGCTCATTGGATTTTCTCCAAATTCATACACATGATAGAGGATACCAAATTCTGGAGCTGATTATCCCACCGAACAAAGTTCGAGGGGGATAGAGGAAAGCTGTCTGTCCGTCCGTTTGTCCAGGTGTTAACTCAAATACCAGTTGACGGATTTGATTCAAATTTCATAGGCTTATGCCTTATGGGGGTAGAATCTCTGCTTGAGAAGGAATTTTCAATATGGCAGCTTAATTCAAAGTGGCCACTATGTTTTATAAAATGTAATCGTTGATAATTCAAATACAAGTTGACAGATTTGGTTCAAATTTTGTATGCTGATGGCTAGGGACAAAGGACTGAAGAAGAGATTTTTAGAATGACTGCTAAATATCAAAATGGCGGCCATTTTTCATAAAAAAACACAATCTCTGATAACTCAAATACCAGTGAAGGGATTTGGATCAAGTTTTATATGATGATGCCTAGGGACACATTAGCTCTGTTCGAGAAAGATTTTCAAAATGGCGGCTGAATTTCAAAATGGCCACCATTTCTCAGAAAAAAGGAATGTAATCTTTGATATCTCAAATGCTAATTGATGGATATGGTTTACATTTTTTATGTTGATGCCTAGGGACAAACAACAAGCTCTGCTCAAGAAGGAATTTCAAGATGGCCACTAAAAATCAAAATATGTTTTGTTCGATAGGATTTGCTACTCCGTGGAGTTGCTGTTTTTCTAGTTTACTTTTGGGTGAATTGAAAAAAAAGCATACAAATCGACATGCACATGAGCTTAATTTCACCTTTATTTAATGTTTAATTTTCAACACAAATGAACTAATTAAAGGTTAGCTTTCACTGATTATCATAAATAGAATACGAAGTCAAACATTTTGGTATCTGACATATAACCGCCCTTGCCTTACCCTACCAGACCCTCCCATAAGTTAGTTTTTATTATGTCGACCACCAAAAAGTGGTGACATATTGTTATGGTCCCTGTTTTTTTTTTACTTTTTTCAACTTTTTTAAATTGACCAATTTTTTTCAAAATCATCTATATGTTATCGGAAGTTCAAATCTGACTTAAGATTTGAGATTTGACCTTCAATGACCTTCTTAAGATAAAAAAAGATCAAAAATGTATTTTTTCAACTTGCTTCAAATTGACCAATTTTATTTTTCAAAATCATCGGCAAGTTCTCAACAGTTCAAGTCTAACTATAGATTTGACCTCCAATGACATTCTCTAGGTAAAAATAGATTTGACCTTTAATGACCTCCTCAAGGTCAAAAAGGTCTTTTTTATCTTGCTTCAACTTGATTGTGACATTTTGTCATGTTAATGCCTAATGTTAGAAGTTCGCGAAGCTTTGTGTTTTTTTCATCTTGCCCCTGTGCTTAGTCTTAACTCTGTCCTTACAGAATGACATATTTTCAGGTATGATGATTGGAGGGTTTTGCTGGGGTACTCTTGCTGACATTAAGGGAAGACGTGGCATTGTGATATGGTCACTCGCAGTCAATGGATTAGCTGGCCTGGGCTCTGCCTTTGCTCAATCATACTGGCTTTTCCTTCTACTACGCTTTATCAGTGGCATTGGGTAAGCAGATCATTTTTATGAAATATTTGCCACTAACACACTGTACTTATTGCAGTATGTCATAATTTGACTCAATTTAAATTACTATACCTGTGGTGTCTAGATATATCTCAGAGTGGTAGTTATTCAATCAAAGTTTGGAGGGATATAGAGAACACCCCCTCCATCTGTACATTCGTCTAGGCGACTACTCAAATAACGCTGGACCGATTATGTTCAAATTTTATACACATGTGCCCTATGTCAGTAGAAGTTCTGCTGCAAAGTCAATTTTCAAAATGGCCGCTCATTCCAAAATGTATGTAAAACTGTAATATTGATGTTTTCAAGGTAAAAGACATAAATGAAGGTCGAAATGTAGATATTTAAGAAGTTTGAAGTTTTTAGATAAATCTTGTCATCGCGATTCCAGTAAAATCACTGAACTCATTTACTTCAAATTTTCACACATGTTACATGGTAAGAAGTTCTAGAGCTGATAATCTTTTTGGCAGCCATCTTGCATTCTGGCGACCATCTTAGAAGTTTTAAGATAAATCTTGTCATCGCGATTCCAGGAAAACCACTGAACGGATACTTCAAATTTTCACAAAAGTTACATGTTAAAGGGTGACGCATATCGTTTAGCAAATCGAACGCTCGTTTCTGGTGTTGCTCACCGTTTAGTATAAAAGGCCCGATCCCGGAATAATACTCAAGGGTTCACAGGTTCGAGATCGTTGTGTCAACACCTCTAACTGTTATATAGCATAAGTATATTATAGATCGTCACACATTTATAAAAGGGTGATTTTTATTTTGACAAATCAATTCCACATTTATGGATGAAGTTTCAGGATCTTCTATTTGTGTATAATAAGGAAAAATTGGCATCTAAATTTCCCCATAACGTAATAGCACACAGCTTGGCATATGAAATAGCCTACAAATGAAACAAAGCAAGACAAACCGGTTTCTAATACAAGGATTTATATTGGCTGTTGTACATGTATTCTTTGAACGCAATCACTCTTTGGATAACGTTTTCAAAATCATTATAAACGGATTACTTTATCTCAAAGACAATTTCAATAAACTGGATTCTACAGAACTCCCCTTATTTCTTAAAAATGGACTGATCCAGTTGATTCGCCTGGAGCCGCCATATTGTTTTTATACGGGATGCTAATCGGAACCCTTTAAGAAGTTCTGGAGCTGATTAACTTTTTCGGTGGCTATCTTGTATTCTGACGGCCACTTTGGAAGTTTTTAGATAAATCTTGTCATCACGATTTCAGGAAGACCACTTAATGGATTTACTTCAAATTTTCACACATGTTACATGGTAAGAAGTTCTAGAGCTGATTAACTTTTGGTGCCCATCTTGCATTCTTGTGGCAATCTTGGACGTTTTTAGATAAATCTTGTCATCGTGATTCCAGGAAAACCACTTCATAAAGAACAGGTCCATTTAACAGACTATTGGTCAACTTAGACTTTTTCCAAAAAACTCATTCCTCCATTTACTTATAAAACCGATTGCAACTTGTAGATAAACCTTTTTTCTTGAGATGTGCAATTTCAAAAAGTGGCTTCAGTATTCAGTTTCTTTGAAAAATTGGCAGTAATAACCCCTATCACAAGGCTGTCTGAATATGGGTACACACTATGTTTACCATCAAAATAATATCATAACTTATCATTACATAGAATTTATTACATGGAACATATGGCATGCAAGCATTCGGAGTAGAACATTAACAAAATCTAGCTTTGTATGTAGTTTACCATTGCAAATCTGGAGAACATTGTCATTTTTTGTCAATTTGTTGTCAAGTTTTAGCATGGTGCTCATTTCCTTTCGTTGAAAATTTAACCATCGGCCCACACTCCCACAAAAAAAGATATTGAAACTGTATAATGCAGAGACTGCAAAGTAGCTTCTCTGCAAATATCATTTTTGTGGGAGTGTGGGCTCACCACTAAAACTGAACTTTTGTGATGAAAATAAGGCTGATTGGTTTATGTTTTCAATATGGCTGCTAGTGGGCATACATGTACACTCACTACATAACTGCATGCACAGATTAGGCCATTCAAAATTAATTATATGTTGGCATTCTGATGAAGGGCCTAATATTAAAAACTACAAAACCTTTATTAAAGGGTTTTATATATTATTTAATAGTGAAAATGCAACAACACATTGTGGCAAAGCAAGTAACACCTCTTGATTCAGATGACCTTGTTAATGAAGACAATACTAAAGCGTATACATATACATGTAGTTTTTAATCAATCTTGGAACTCATTTCAATACAATATAATTCAAGATCACAATTCCCTCGGTCATTTGTATGCATTGTAAGTACAGAGTACATGGGAACATTTTTTTTCTGAAAACATAGAATTTTGTGACATTAATTATAAAAAATCTTGTGTTTTTCTAAATAGGGAATAAGTAGAAATTATTTTAGGCAATCCTTTGAGTGCCATGCCATTTATACATGATCCTCAGCCTTATATTTTATGATATATATTGAAATTGAAATGTGGGCAACATGTTTAGAAATTGGCGAGAAGCAATTGAAATAAGAAAATCTATTCTCATGGAAGTGCCCTTGTGTGCATTTAATTGCAGCCATTTTGTCCTAATTGCCCATGGGCATTTAAAATAATAATCACATTCCAACTCTTAAAACATGCTTATATTAGGATACTGTTGGAGTCTCAAAAGGCAACAAGAACATTCATTTTTGAAACAGGAAAATTTAGTCCCCCAAAAAATGCCCATATGGGAATTTATTCTCAAGATTTTCATGTAATTGCCCGTGAGAATTTATTGAAAATATTTTTATTTCCATTAACATGTCTTATTATCAGTCACAATCAAAATTAAGCCAATTGCCTTCATTTCTTGTATTTGAAAACGGCAAAATTTTGACAAAAATAGCATTTCTCAACGTTGACCTTTAAACCACCCTAATGTCAAGGTCAAATGTCAAAATTATCAGAAATCACATTTTAAGTAATAAGTCATACTTCCGCTTCAATTCCAAGTCAATATATACTTGTTTTGTAGGGGGGCTAAAAGAGGGGTTTACCGCCACCTGTCCTTTGTTTCAAATGATTCATGGTAAGAAGTTCTAGAGCTGATAATCTTTTCGGCAGCCATCTTGCATTCTGGCGGCCATTTTGAAAGTTTTTAGATAAATCTTATCATCGTGATTCCAGGAAAACAACTGTTACATGGTAAGAAGTTCTAGAACTGATTACCTTTTTGGTGGCCATCTTGCTTTCTGGTTCATCAAACCCACACTGCTATGTTTTAGGTACGATATTTGTCACCCTGTGCCTTGTTTACTATAGCATGAAATGAAATATATGTACGTATATATATATATATTGTTCATATATGATGACATATAAGGTTTTAAGACACTTGGGCTAGTACATGGCCATTTTGAAACTTGCCACCATTTTTACGTGTGTTATTTTATATTTTCTACCATAACTCAAAAAGTTAAAGTGCGATTTTGATCATATTTCACATGTGACTACTTATAAGCATGGTACACTGTCTTTTGACACTTTGGCTATAGTAGGCAGCCATTTTTACATATGCTAGTTTATAATATTTATTACTACAACTCAAAAAGTAATGAAGTGCTTTTGTTCATATATATATTTGTTCTATACCATTTGTCAGGTTACGTTCAAATGAACAAAACAACTGTTTACAAGAAAAGCAATAGGCTTGTGGCCTCAGTACAGTTTATTGCGAAGTGTTTTAATTGCCATAACATACACATAATATGTTGATGAAATACAATGATCAACTTGAATAATGTTGAATACATGTCTGACTTACTTGGTTAGCTAAAACTGTTCTATAATGTATATATATATAATGCGATCAGTAAAGTATTTACAGTTGAATCGATTGATTTTCAGAGTTATTAACACTGTTAAAACCTCAAAATTTTGAGGACCTCTCGTTGTGAGGCCTAAAGGGTATGCAACAACATAGACTTTGTGAACGTGATACAAATTCAAAATAAATTTATTTTTTGATGGAGTTTATCTTGCGGCGCCAAATGCCAGAATGAAGCATAAACCTAACAGCCGTATTTACTAAACAGCTATTCACTATACAGCTAGTGAGTGAAATCGCATTCGATTTAAACGAAACATACATATGCATGAACTACACCCCACAAAAAACTATAGAAACTATTTATATTCTAAATTTACGAACTCGAACGAATATAAATTACAAATACAGGGATCTAGATAAGCTGAAAAAATTATTAGCCAATGTGGTTAATATTTTCTAAAAAATGTTAGCCACTCTAAAAAATTATTCGCCAAATTGATTTTATCAAATGACATAAAAAGTGTACTTCAATCAAGTTTCTCACATTGTCATCATCCCCTTTGTAGCCATTTTAATGTATTTTACTATAAATTGAAAAGCAGTAGAGCGATTTTGTTCATATTCATAGCCATTGTGAAAAATTGCCGCCATTTTAATGTATTTTACTACATATAACTCGAAAAGTAGGGGAGCGATATTGTTCATATTTGGTATGTGAATACTATACACTTGGCACACTGTCTTATGATATTTTTGGTAGAAGGCGGCCATTTTTCAAAATGGCCACCATTTTATCCTATTTTACTATAACTCGAAAAGTAGTGGAGCGATTCTGTTCATGTTTGGTATGTGAATACTATAAGCATGGCACACTGTCTAATGACACTTGTGATAGAACGGTGGTCATTTTAAAAAATGGCTGCCATTTTTGCTTTACTATTACTTTGTTTGTAAAAATGCCAGCCATGGCTGTTCGATGGGATTTGCTCGGTTTGGCGTTGCTGTTGTCTAGTCGACAATTTTTCTCAAAAGAGGCGATTTTTAAAATATGTTGTTTTATGAAGTTTTCTGTTACTAAAATTGTAGTGAAGCAACTTCGTAAAAGGACAGCCATGGTCGTTTGATGGGATTTGCCATATGCCTTGGCGTTGCTGTTGTCTAGTTTAAAGAGGACAGATGGCATGATCTAGTAAATATGATGATGACATGCTTTATGTGTTCAAGTGTTGGAGGCAGTATACCAGTGGTGTTTAGTTACTTCTCAGAGTGGCAGTGTAAGGAGAGGAGAGGTAGCATGATCAGTCTTCTTTCAACATTCTGGATGTGTGGCAATGTGCTTACTGCAGGTAATACTTTGATTATACAGGCCATCAAATAAGTCTGTTCTCCCCTCTTAACTTTTTTTAATGTTTTTATCAAACTTTCCCATATATCTTTTTAAAGCTTATGGAAAATGCTGATCACCATCAAAAAATCAATAATGAAATCTTCTTAATAAAATTGCAACAATGTTTCTTGTCAGGGACATTTGATTATGTCAAAACAAGTAAAATTTCCAATATAGTGAATGAAAGTTGAAAAGTTGAGACTGCAATGACTGTCACGTTTTCAAGGTTCAATTTTATTTAGATAAGTTAACAGACTCAATAATTTAGTTGCTCAAACATTGAAACATTGCTCAAATGTATCAAAAAAGCTCTTAGAAGCCTCGAAAATGCTTCATCGTTGTTGTGAACATTTTGGAATTGTATCCTTGTAGAACTATGGCTGTCCGAGCTGCTGAATATCACTATAAATGCTCTTAAAAATATAGATTTGAACCAATTACTCTGTAACCTGGTGTGTGATCAGCAAATTAAATTCCCTTTAAGAAGTAAAGGGGGAGAACAGACTTATTTGATGCCCTGTAAATGTTATGTTTTACACCTGTCCCATCTATGAGTAGTAGCAATATGGTTAGACACTAGACAGGGAGGCCAACAATGTAATTTTACCTCGGCCTTCCTAGTATGTTAAATATTGTTATATAAAATTATGCAAAGAAATAAAACTTAACCTTAAAAAAAACACTAGACAGGGGTTATGAAATAAGTTGAGTTTTGCTTTGATCTGCAAGAGTTGCACAATAATAGTTTTACACTTATGTGAATTGTAGTTGGATTTTGCATGTACATGTATCATAGTGCAGGAATTGTGCAATAGTTGCTCATAAGTTTAATCATCACCACACTAGCAGGTCTTTGATACTTAAGTATAACAAACATGTAAAGTTCCAATTGTCTTGTATGTTCCAGCCATAGCGTTGGCAGTAATCCCCTATATTAGAAATTATCTATAATTCCAATTGTCTTGTATGTTCCAGCCATAGCGTTGGCAGTCATCCCCTATATTAGAAATTATCTATAATTCAAATTATCTTGTATGTTCCAGCCATAGCATTGGCAGTCATCCCCTATATTAGAAATTATCTATAATTCCAATTGTCTTGTATGTTCCAGCCATAGCGTTGGCAGTCATCCCCTATATTAAGTTATCTATAATTCCAATTGTCTTGTATGTTCCAGCCATAGCATTGGCAGTCATCCCCTATATTAGAAATTATCTATAATTCCAATTATCTTGTATGTTCTAGCCATAACATTGGCAGTCATCCCCTATATTAGAAATTATCTATAATTCCAACTGTCTTGTATGTTCCAGCCATAGCATGGGCAGTCATCCCATATAATACAAATTATCTATAATTCCAACTGTGTTGTATGTTCCAGCCATAGCATGGGCAGTCATCCCATATAATACAAATTATCTATAATTCCAACTGTGTTGTATGTTCCAGCCATAGCATGGGCAGTCATCCCATATAATACAAATTATCTATAATTCCAACTGTGTTGTAAGTTCCAGCCATAGCATGGGCAGTCATCCCATATAATACAAATTATCTATAATTCCAACTGTGTTGTATGTTCCAGCCATAGCATGGGCAGTCATCCCATATAATACAAATTATCTATAATTCCAACTGTGTTGTATGTTCCAGCCATAGCATGGGCAATCATCCCACACCCAGGTCTTGGATACTTCAATATAATACAAATTATCTATAATTCCAACTGTGTTGTATGTTCCAGCCATAGCATGGGCAATCATCCCACACCCAGGTCTTGGATACTTCAATATAATACAAATTATCTATAATTCCAACTGTGTTGTATGTTCCAGCCATAGCATGGGCAGTCATCCCACACCCAAATCTTGGATACTTCAGCTCTACTTTCACTTTCAACAGTTGGAGGATCTTTGTAGTCCTAGCTACATTCCCTGCCCTTACAGCATCCTTGTTATATATATTTATGCCTGAAAGTCCAAAATTTCTACTCATGGTAAGTTTCAGTAAGTTTGCATGAGTGTTGAATGTAATTTCTTATATTAAATATTTATTCTTTTTCTTCAATTATTCATACCTAAAAGGCTACCTATAATGTAGTTCTATTTTTGCAAATAAATGTTCTAATGTTCATAACAACATTTATAAATCTTTAATGTCAATAACATGTCTCCACATATTAAGTACAATTGCAATGAAAAAATAAGAAGCTGACTAAATTGTTGCATTAGTTTTTTTCCAAAAGCTAAAACTATTGATCTGGAAATTGGAAACCCCTGTTGACTGACTATTCATGTAGTAGAACACGGTGGAGTATTTAAACAGCTTGCCTATTTGGCGCGCCATCTGAAACACTGGCAAACTGCATGCCTCTTCGAAAATGGCAGGGGGAAGACATATCTTTCAAAACTGTGTGATACAAACAATGTTCCTTATTAGCTCACATGGTGAGCTATTGTTATCACCCACTTGTCTGTCCGTCCGTCCGTCCGTCCGTCCGTCAGTCTATCTGTCCCTCCGTCTGTCTGTCAACACATTGGCAGCAAATTCAAAATCCTCCACGACAATAGGAATGATTTCACTTTTAAAAGTTTCAAAATGGCGGCCATTTTTATAGTGTAAAAATCAGGTTTTCAGCTCCTTTTTGGTTATTACTCCAAAAGTAACTCCAATTTGCTTGAAATTGTACAGGTACCTTAATTTAGAGGTTATCAATAAGGATATCAAGTTTCGGCAAAACAAGTCACAAAGATTTGAATTAGCCGCCACTTTAACTGTGGCAAAATCAAGTTTTAAGCTCATCTTTGGTTATAACTCCATAAGTATTCCATCAATTTGCTTGAAATTATACATTACCCTTATTTCTAGATTATCAACTATGTCTACAAGTTTTGGCAAAAAATGTCACAAAAATTCAAAATCGCCGCCACTCTTTGCAGAAAAATCAGGCTTTTAGCTCTATCTTCATCAAAACTTCACAAGTATTCCATCAATTTGCTTAAAATTTTACCGGTAACTTAATTTCTAAGTTATCAATAATGTCTTCAAGCTCTACAAAATATGTCGCAAAGATTCAAAATGTCTGCCAATTTTATTGTAGAAAACTCAGGTTTTCAGCTTTTTTATCATAACATCACAATTATTACATCATCAATCTGCTTGAAATTCTATAGGTACCTTAATTTATAGGTTATCAATTCCAAGCTCATACTGTAAAACATTAAAGATATTGAAACTTTCCCATGTGAGAGCACAGTACCCATGGTACTATTCATATTTGAAAATTGCGTGCACATATCCAAGTTTTTATATTTTCAAATGGTAAATATGTTATTAATCTACTTATATTTTAAAAGTTGTATTTATTTGCACAAATATTTTACTATCACATGGTAGAAGCATGTATTCATCTCCAAATGAATGCATTAAATAGGAAAGCAATTCATTGTAAACATCTTAAAATAACTTTGGAATAACATAGACTCTGACTTGTATGATGTTATATTGCAAGGTGCAGAGTTTTTGATAAGGCACGCCGTTTAAATACTCTACTGTAAAGAAGTCTATCCCCATCAATTTATTGACATGATTGTTTTAGCATTGAATAATTTTTCAGCAAGGAAACGATAAAGCAGCTCTTGCCATCCTGGCTAATGTCTACCAGCGCAACAAGGGAACACAGAATCAGTATCCAGTAGGTTGAATATATGCACTTTTCTTTCAGTAATATTTTATTAGTCTAATAATTAGAGTTTAACTCTTGGCAGTCTAAACTCAATCCCAGTATTTGCTGCCCTACATGTAGTCTGAGCAAAATGGACAATTTGACCATAGTAGCCATTAAATTTTTAATTTTAGGCTACAAAACAATATATTTTTGATCTGGTCATCAAGTGTTGGGTATGTATTATCAACACAATGCATATTTTTTGTTTCTAAATGAATTTTAGCATAACCCTAAGTACCTAATGTGTGAGTTATCTCGTTGGCAGACCCCAGGGAATGTCTGATTTTGCAAGATAACTCGTCAGCAGACTGCTAAGAGTTATGCCTGCGTCATATTTGCTCTGATTCATCAGCCGGCCGGCCGATTGAGTATCCTGTTCACAATTGTACTCAGTTTTGAACAGAATACAGTGATTGAACAAAATGGATGGAGGCGATTAGGTGATTTCTGCAATTAAATTCAACAGATCTGGAAGATTTATTTTTTCAAGAGAAAGTTACCAATTGAATTGCTAAATGAATAGGCGCACCCTATGGTAAAATATGTTAGCTCTTGTAGGACATTTTTGAACCGATACGCTTCTAAGATATGAAATCTATTAAAAAAGGGAGACTAAAAGGATCTCTATCCTAGAGTTGTATCTCTCATGTCGCGCCACCTGCATTTAGATATTCATAGTCTCAGCTTCAACATAGGACGAGGAAAGGCATGTACATCATACAAACCTTGTGGAATATTGCTGGAGCCTAGAAGATATAAAGATGACTTTTTAATTTAAACCACCGTAAAATTGAATTTTGAATAATAATATTTGCTTGAGTTGTGTTAATAGACCTTCCAAGGCTGTTGTATTCGGGCGATAATAAAAAAAATAAATACTATTAATGAAATTGACGCACTATGTTTGCTGTATTATGCTGTAATGGCGCTGAGTTGCTAGACATGCACATTTGGAATTAAAATACGGCAATTGCTGTATCGCTGTCAAATGCAATCTGATATGGCAATCTCAAATATTGTGTTGTCTTCATGATTTGTGCCTCTGAAACTCCCAATGCAAATGCTTAAATCAGTGGCAATTCTAATATATATCTAATGTATGTCTTTTAATATCTGCCAATTCAATCAAGGGTAGATTATATGCTAAATATTATGTTGTGTCATATACAGATTCATGAATGTAGAGTTTGTTGGGATTTGCTACTCCATGGAATTTATTAAAGTAAAAATTGCATCAGTATGTTAAATCATTCTTTTAGTCATTGATTTTCACAAACCTTATAAAACCGGATTGAAGTCTTTTCAAGTTAATCACCAAAGACAGTATTTTTGTAATTTTTGATTTAAAACATATGGATATTATTTTCTGTGGATATTAAATTATTAATTTTGTATTTTATATCTAGGTAGAGAGGCTAGAAAGATTCATGTATGAGGATGAGTCTGAGGCAAAGTACACATTGTTAAAGATGAGGGGCAACTCATGTATGCAGATGTTCAGGAGAATGCAGCATACAGTTATCAAGGTGGGGAGAAAGTATTGGCATTAAAGGTTGAAAGGTAGTCATGGTGCTCATGTTCTTCATTCCACCCTTTGCATACAAAGCTTTGTTTGGTGATGATATACATGTATGCACACATGGTTCAAAGGGTCACTTTGGAATTTAAAAAACTAGTCTCGATTTGGAGAACGAAGTTCATCAGTTACTGTTACCGGAAGTATTATTAATTTGTTGCATTCAGTATTTTAGTGCACTTGTATTCAGTATTTTAACTTTTTGAAAATTGCCAAGCTATCTATGTACAATTATGTCACATCAATTAATTATTAATAGATTAATATAGTTAAGTAATTGGCATAGGTAATGAGTGTTCAAGATTAATACTGTAAAGTAATAGGTGCCAGTATTAATACTGTTAAGTAATGGGCAGCAATACTAGTACTATAATATTAGTGGATGGTTGATAGTGTAAAGTAATGTGCATCAAGATATATACTATAAAGATTAATACTGTAAAGTAATGTGCATCAAGATAAATACTAAAAAGATTAATACTGTAAAGTAATGTGCATCTGGATATATACTATAAAGATTAATACTGTAAAGTAATGTGCATCAAGATATATACCTTAAAGATTAAAACTGTAAAGTAATGTGCATCAAGATATATACCTTAAAGATTAATACTGTAAAGTAATGTGCATCAAGATATATACTAAAAAGATTAATACTGTAAAGTAATGTGCATCAAGATATATACCTTAAAGATTAAAACTGTAAAGTAATGTGCATCAAGATATATACCTTAAAGATTAATACTGTAAAGTAATGTGCATCAAGATATATACCTTAAAGATTAAAACTGTAAAGTAATGTGCATCTGGATATATACTATAACTCTCTTAGTGCCGGTGCGACTTTTTGTTCGTTTGACGTCTCAATGCCGGTGCGACTTTTAGGTCGTTTTTGAAGGAAAATTGTGTAAAACTCAAATATGTTCGTATTTCCAATTCAGAGGTGATTGAAAACACAATAAAACTATATGATTACATACTTTAGTACTATACCTTATGTAAATGCCTCATATTTAGCCACTGGAATAGTGATAAGAGGAGAATAAGAGTGAAACTCGACATATTCCTCAGAGTCTTGTAAATATTTTCAATATGGCGCCATTGGGGAAATCCCTGGGGAAATCCATTTGAAACGTATGATAATTGATTAATAATTGATAAAAACTTCAATAATGTTTGCAAACGAAAAAGTTAACGATAATTTATAATCTTATTTGAAGTATTACTCAATTCTAAATACATATTATTACAAGATGATATATATAAAGAAGTGTAACTAAAATATATAGAATTGAGAATGATCAGTTCATATATTTAACCTACTTTTCAAATGAAGATAATCCCCGGTCTTCATGTATGTTTAACATATTTTATGACTTATGAATGCATTCTGTATGCTATCAATAATTCAAAGTAATCTGATTTGGAGCTATGTTCATCAAGTACCACGCGTATGTCATGGTTGAAGCCAGATTGGAAATTTTGGTTTCACTTTGATTTTACAGCATACACTGCCACAAATCAGTCGTTTTCATAAACATGTGAGATTTTGCTGATTTTGATTTTGGAGTAAAAAAAACTTAAATTCAGACTTATCAAGCAAATACCTTGATGAAAATGTTAAAGAGGATGTCTTGGATTTGATTTATATAGATAAGATCACATCCAATGTTGTTTAGTTCACCGGAAAAGGAGGCTTACTGAATTGTAGGTGGATTTTTTACTGAATTTTCCCCAGTTGTTTACATTGATACAGTACATGTACATGTGGAATTGGGCCTTGTGGTGTATCCAATGGTATCTTTGATAGGTAAGCATGATATCTATATTCCTTGTAAAAACTGAAATCATAACGACTATCCAGTGGGTTCATTGTTTATGTACTTTTACTCTCAGAGTCAGTAGACTACATACTAATAATCTTACATGTAGTCATGTACACTAGAAGTACTGCATGATATCAACTACATTCAATGACAGAGCACTGTAATACCAATGGTGAAGGAATATCAGATAGAAATTATTTTGATTACCATGGTACTGTACTCCTTTAATGATAATTAATACATTTCATTCTTTTCCTTTTAGGAAAATACGTATGCTGCGGTAGAGTAGCGAAATGCTGGTTTGTCAATTAAGAAAGTAGGGGAAGGGTGAGTGGACCGATGTTAGCATATCGGGAAAGCTTTTGCTGGACTCCTACTGTATACATATCCGGTGTCATCAGAAATACTTACTGGATGCTAGTCCATAAATACCATGAACATTGGAAAGTAATGACCAGAAATTGATAAAAGAGGTACATATGTAAAAACTATTTGACTTGTTTTAATGTCCCAAATAACAAAATCAAGAAGAATATATTTTTCTCGCAGTTTTGAAATTTCGTGGCTATTAATTTTCACTAACTTTCAGTTTTCTGAATTTCATGGCTATTATTTTTTTCTAGATTTGAGACCAAGTTTTTTTTAAATATCTTGGGATTTTGAGGCTACCGTATTCTCTTTAATGAGAGCATAGTGTACTTCCCAAATTGAAATTGAATCAAAAGGGTAGGTAGAAAAAATATCGCTGATAATCTTTTTATTAGAGGTTATCACTGAGCTGAAGTTTACATACTTTACAGCTCCCGTACATCTTTCTCTGAATTAGATTAATTATCAATAGCCATCAATCATTCAATAACCTGTTGTGTCAAAACCATAATGCATTAAACTTTGCGTTTTCCTCAGACCATCTTCATCATATAAGTCGCATGTACTTCATTGGTACTATGTGTTCATTTAAGAGAATACGGTATTACATTTTGTGAATCTTCAAAAAATCATGAAAAACGCAAAATATAATAGTAAGGGAAAATTTACAGAGAATACAGTATATCATGCTAGATTACATTGGTCTATAGTATTGTAATACAGTACATGTACATGTTTTATTGATACTCTGCAAAGTATGAAGCAGCAAATACAGTAAAATAACAATTAACATAAACATAGCCGTCATTTATTTGACAAAAAATAAATGTCCAATGCACTAGATAAAGTTTGGTCGGAATATCAATTTCCTAATTAATCATTTCAGATAGCAAAATATATACAGTAAAACCTGTCTAATCCGAATATCTTTGAGATTTTGAGGTGTTTGCATCTGTAAGATTCTTGCTTTTGAAGAAATATAAATGCATTCTGAATTAATATTAATATTTCTATTGACGACATACCTTTGTTCCAAAATCTGATTCAAATGGATGAAGTCATGCTAGAGAGACCAATTAGGATTGAGATCATTTGATGTTTTATCAAAAGTTTTGATAGCATAAAAAATCAGTGTTAAATTGAAAATATGTGAGCAGTTTTGTAAGAAATATGTGATATTTTGTGAAAAGTGTTTGTTTAGACAAGTTATTTTTCAAATATGAGTGTTCGCATTAGAGGTGTTCAGATTTCAAGATTAGCCAGGTGTTCGGATATACGGGTTTCACTGTATTCATTTTTAGTCCCCTCAAAAAAGCAGAAATCTGTTCTTGTTGAAAAAGTTTTTGTTTTGTCAATATCTGACAAATAACTAGAACTATTTTTATTACGTATTCAAGAAATGGAGTTCAAATTCAAAGGATAAAGTGAGCTTATACAGAAAACATAAATTCACACATCCATTTCAATACTTATATTGTTCACAGTGACGTCAATAATGACATGTATGAGAGCAGTTCATTTTATCATTAAAGTTAGTGAAAATAGGATCCAAAAGTAACCACAGCAAGTTAAAATTTAAGTCAAAGAGCAAATTTTATATTTCTTTGTGACATAATTTTTACAATTTTATGCAAAAACCTTGAAAAAACGGTTGCCTGTCCTGCCTTATACTCATAGCTGACTATACTTGAAAGGAATATTTATTCATGTTTCAATTTTGTTTTCCAGAGATACATAGCTTAGTTATAACTGTCATGGGAGCAGTGCAGTAGAAAACATCAACCTGAAATGATACACACAAATATTAAAAGAACAAAGTAGGAGTCGATTTAGCAGATTATATGACCACAATTTATGACTGCAGGTATGGCTATTTATGTAAAATTCCTAGTAATATTTTATTGTGAATGGCCCCATGTTTATCATCCAAATATTATTTGTCATATTTTGAAAAAGTTGACTTTTTATGAAGTTCCAGTATGTTATAATACATGGGTTTAATAATCTTTTTTAATATATGATCCAAAATCATATTTATACCCAAAGAAACTTGAGAATGCAATCCAGCCATGCATAATGAATTGTACACATTTACTAGAGAGGTTTCCATAAAATGGGCAATGAAATGTTGGAAGAAACTTAGCCAACATTTCATTGATAATGCTCTATCAGCATGAGAACCAAAACTAAAACTATCATCAAAAAGGGTGGCGAACCAATTGAATACCTCTTTTAAGAGCAAATACAATCCTAAGTTAAAGTACTCATTACAGTACATTAGCCTACTTTATTAATCAGGACCACTGGCCCTTTATAACTGCACAATTGTGTGCATGCAGGTTGGGTAATAAAAAAGTTAAAGCATTTTTTTAAAGTGGCATTTTTGGCTCACCCTGTGGTTGTTGTTGATGAAATCATCCCCAACCAAGTACAAACTGCATACATGTAATTGCATGAAGTGCATATAATTTATTCCAATTCGTTTGTTGTTTTTCAGTCAACATCTAAGATGACTGACACAGATTCCTGGATTCAGTTACCATTATGGAAATAAACTTGATTTACAGATGACACGAGAACAAAGACATTTATTTGGACACCAAGGCATAATGCCTTTGAAAGGAGATTGAAGGAATATCATTTAATTGATAAGATACCTGGTACTGTACATAACCTAATGAGCCAGAAGTTTAAAAGTGAATCTGAAAATAAATGATTATTGTTGCAGTTTAGTATTTAGTATATTGTATTGGAAGATGCTTCCCAAGATATCATTTAGAGGTGAACTCCAGTAATCAAAATACAGAAAGGTGAACATGTTTCATTTACAGGGTGGACCACTGATTATATAATTTTACTTCTGTACACATCCTCTTTATTGTTTTATATCTTCTGAAAATAAAATACAAATACATACTCATAAAAGTGTAAGTATTAATTGCTGATTCAATCATTCTTGATTATATAATTTTACTTCTGCATACATCCTTTTTATTGTTTTATATCTTCTGAAAATAAAATACAAATACAAACTCATAAAAGAGTACGTAAGTATTAATTGCTGATTCAATCATTCTTGATTTAGCATAGACTAGGCTAAAAAATTCAGAATAGGTAATTGAAATTTTTTGAAATTCTATATTTTTGTTTTTTTACCTGATATTTTGTACCTGAGATTTAATATGGTTACCATGGTAACATATATGTTAAGTGGACTAAAGTGTCTTATGAACTTTCAAGATAATGTCATCATGATGACCCATAGCAAATGTCACAACAACTCATTATCAACTGAATGAAATATCTGTATTTCAACAATACAGTTTCAAAAAAATCTTTACAAAATGTTATACTTTATAATATTTAAATGATAATGTGTCACAAAGACTTCAATATTTGAAATCTTATCATCACATTAAGACATTATATATAAACATCTGGATACAACCCTACACTGTATGCTTTATTTAATTTAGAATGTTTTATTCTGAATAAGAAATAATTCTGACATGCAACAACTATAAAAATGACATGTAATGTGCTGATATTGCTAATACAAAACCATTGTCTTTGAATACAGATATTTGAATAAATTTCTTGTTATTAAAGATACCAAGGTGAATATGGTTACTATGGCAACCCACAATGCCATCACTTGGTGTTATACATGTATCTTCAAGCCTTTGTTATTTTCATGACCCATGATAAGTTTCATTGCATTTGGTTCAGGATTAAGTCTTATATCCAGGTTTTCATAATGGATGTGCAAAATATGTCAAAAACCTGTCCGATTTAAAGACAATGCGGCACTGAGACGTCTGTTTTGAAACCTATTAAGGCATCAATCAATCATATCCTAATATCAGCATATCACGTTTGGATACACTATCAAGACTTGATAAATGTGTTTTTTGAGTAAGAGACGATTCCTGTGTTCCAAAACCGAAATTAAGATGGAATGCGCTGGTACCAGTAATAAGAAATATTGTCTTCAAATTGGAAAATTTCACGATTTTCAGGTTTTATAAGATTTCAAGATTAATATGATTACCATGGTAACCAGCACAGCCATTGACGTAATGTTGTATATGCATTTTCAAGCCAGTGTTATTATGATACACCATGTCAAGTTTCATTGCATTTGGTTCTAAACTAAAGTCTAAAATTCAGGTTTGAATGATGGAAGTGCAAAATGTGTCAAAAAGCTGTCTGATTCAAAATTAATGTGGCACTGAGTTATCTGTTTTGAAATTTATTGTGTCACTAAGAGAGATAAAGATTAATACTGTAAAGTAATGTGCATCAAGATATATACTTTAAAGATTAATACTGTAAAGTAATGTGCATCTGGATATATACTATAAAGATTAATACTGTAAAGTAATGTGCATCAAGATATATACTTTAAAGATTAAAACTGTAAAGTAATGTGCATCTGGATATATACTATAAAGATTAATACTGTAAAGTAATGTGCATCAAGATTAATACTGCATCATTGTTACACAGTTCAGATAAATTTTAATTAATGAATCTCTTCTATTCACCTTTCCACAAAGTAGAGAAAATCGATAATTTCTGCTGTACTGATTGGCTGTAATGCAAATGTGTGCAATCAATGATGTCAATGGGTTAAAGTTTTGATGATTTACTACATAATGTATGCTCCGATCCATCGGCCGGCGCTCGGCCGCTTGAGTGTTTTGTTCAATATTGTATTCAATTTTGAACAAAATATCAATCGGCCGGGCGCCGTAGTGAAAATCGGAGCAAATGTGACCAAGGCATAAGGTATACATGTATCTACTAATTAAGAAATATGTTTTTCAGATATTTCAAACAGCCATCACTATGTTCAAGCAGCCATACACACGTAGCTCACTTATTATGTGGTTCATTAACTTCAGTATATGCTTTGGGTAAGTACCATTATATATAGAATGTTTGTGTTTAATTTATGTTACCATTCAAAAGATGACCATTAAATTGACGATGTGTAAGAAGTACCAATCAAATTTTAATTACAGATCAGTTGCCATGTTGTTTTAAATACTTTTTTAATACAGGCAGATGACATAAGCTGAGTCATATGCCACTCCTCAAAATATCTTTATGTTATCCATGAATAGTGTCTAATCCCAACCAGCTTATTTAGTCCTTACTTGACTTCATGTTCCACTACCTTCTCTCTCACAGGCTGGTATCGAAAAATTTGTCCGCTGTGACGGAGCGTGATATTTTGCATAGAAACACTAGGAAATCCGCACAATTTATTTTTTTACTGATATGATTTGCTATATCAAAGAAAATTACTGACTCCATGCAATGAATATATCATTTGTGAGTAACTTTAACTTCTGTTTGAAGTCTGGCAATGCTAAGAGTAAAAGCTATTGAAAACGGCGTCGAGTATCATACTCTAAAATGTACCATTTCTTTTATTTCTTTTTAATGGTACAATATAGCGACACGATAATATTTACATGTGTTTCCAGCATAACTCTGAAGGTATTAATGAGATCTTAATGTATTGGGTATTTTTAATTTTTTAATTTTTTCTGTTCTGTATATACTGGTATCACTAATTCTCGAAATCGTTGTTCCCTCTTCAAAAGAGAAGACGCGAAAATCTTTCCTTATAAGGGCAAAATATTTCCCATGATGCAGTTCGCGGAGGAACAAATTTATACTTCCTTATTTTCCCTCATAGGTTTAACATGGGGATTTTCACACCTATTTTTCAAACGATGTATTCGTTCATATTCCCGTACGAGAGTACAGAAAAAATTATTAAAAACGATTGATCTCTCATTAATCTTAATATAACAGCTATTTTTTCATTGTATTAATTCATAGCATGGTGAAAACGATGATTGAAAAGTGAGAAAATATTCCGGAAGGGAAGGTCACGTGATCAGTAGACTAGCCGCCATATTGGAAAAAAACAATTCCATTCGACTTTCAATACTTGCATGCCAATCTTACCGCACTACAAACTGCGACATCGAACTGAATAAAAGTATTCATCTTCAAATTACATTATAGAGTTACGTTGAAAACCCAAAAACAACTGAGCAGTAGACCAAAGAAAATGCGTCGCTATTATCTAGGTCAATCTGTTCAGTGGTCCGAAAGCAAATCTATAGTACTCGTTTCCGAATTTTGTTGTTCATTGTACAATCTTTTATTGATTAAACTCGGTACACTGACTATTAAAGCAATGACAAAGAAGAATACTTATGATGGTGTCATTGTTTTATTTAGCGTGCGGGTGTAAAAACAAAATTGAGTAATTAGTTTGATTTAGAACTTTCGTGTCACGCAAATAGCTACGCGAAATGCATAGTGGGAAAATGTTGACCAATCAAATTTTGTCCTTTTTGAGTGCTTTTTCAGTGCATATTTGCGAACGTTCTGATTCAAAGAGCGAACCGCGAAAAGGAGAATTGGTATGTCAGACCGGCCAGCCGGCGCCCGGCTGATTGAGTATTGTGTTCAAAATTGTATTCAGTTTTGAACACAATACTCAATCGGCCGGTGCTGAAAATCGGAGCATATGTGACCACGGCATTAGTATTATAAGTTGTTAATTGGTATGTTTCACCTGAGCTGGTGATTATGTAATGATTAGGTTGACATTTCCAATCAGTCTCACAGACAACACAAGTCCCAAGTCTGTATATTTACTCTCATTTCTTCACTTTTAAGAGTTATTCACCACATTCTGCATACATTGAGACTGGTAGATGGTCAAACATAGCATTGCAAGACCGAACTTGTAAATTATGTGATGGTAACACTATTGAAGATGAATTGCACTTTGCCATTCAATGTAAACATTACTCCAGCATCAGATCACACTTTTATGAAACTGTAACAAATATTTTGACGCCACATATAAAAACAAATACTGACAATGATTTACTTCTATTTATTAGTCTCATGCATTCAAAATCAATTCAAAGGCAATGGGCTGCTCTCTTGCATAACATGTTTGTAAAGAGACAATTTGACCTTGAAAGGCTGACTGAAACACAATTATTTGTAATGTCCTAATGTATGTTTATACTCGTACTATAATTTAACTCTAGTCAATTAAAAGTGCTGAATTTCACCATATTGAATGGCCTATCATTATTTATTCCGATTCAAACATATAAAAAATGAAAACATTGTTCAGAGAATTGGGGATTGGAGCTACATCATGAGATACACCAAACTCGAGCTCGCTGTTATTTTCGCCATTCCCAGGTGTGACGTCACAATGCAAATAAATGCATATAAAAAATGAAAACATTGTTCAGAGAATTGGGGATTGGAGCTACATCATGAGATACACCAAACTCGAGCTCGCTGTTATTTTCGCCATTCCCAGGTGTGACGTCACAATGCAAATACAATACGTAGATTCCCGGATGATTGGATAGAGCACGGTCGTGCATCTATGGAGAATTAGAGAACGTTCTATATTGGCTATGCTGCATTTTGATTGGTTGAGAAATTCAATTAGAGCACGGTCATGTTTGAATTAAGGCAATATGTTACATGTCAACTCCCTCTATTTATAATGTATATGAATTTATAATTATCAAAATGTGCAATACTTGGGATAAATTGTTTTATTATACATTACTGATACACATTGTCTACAGTCTGACAATGTATGCTCAATGTTCATGCAAAAATAATTCTATTTGGAAGTTAGTGACCAGTGTCTCATAAGCCGACATTGGCTGGTGGTATTTTAACTATGTCCTAATATATGTATTAATTGTTTCAGTGACACTTAAATAAAATATTTTAAACTTTAAAACATATTCCCAGGAGATATCCTTATATAGAATTTTATTGGTTTTAAGTATAGTTTATCAGTTAAAAATAGGGAAGCATTTCATTTTGATTGGTCTATAACCAAAATTTGCCAGTTTGTGCAACATGTTAAACATTTTGACAGAATTGATAAAAGTCTGTACTTTTTGTGTAATAACTCCAAAATGACCAAATGTTTCCTTATTCAGCACAAGTGTAACTGTGTTAGGTAATTGATACATATCCGAGAAAAATGGTCTGCAGAAACATGATATTCTGAACAAAACAGGACCAAAAACGACCCCTGAAGATGCCTGCATTATTTTAGATTTTGGTGTGTTTCAATGGCCTGAAAAATGGATTGGGTAGGGGAGTGGCATTCCTATTGAGCTTATTCCAGTTGCCATTTTAATCAAATGAATGATGACATATTTGTTATCATCTGAAAGCTTGTGACGTGTGCTTCAATTTGGTACCCATATTATGACATCAGAGGATATATTATGACATCACAATGGTACCAAAATAAAGAAGCAATAAAATGCGGCAAAATAATGGTGAGACTCCAACATTCTTTTGACAATTCACTACTTGCCACAATCAATGAATGCAAATCTCATTGAGGCATACTTCCAATGTATGATCTGATGATTGGCAAAAAATAACTAGGATGTTAGTTATTGTCAATAAGATTGGATACACAATATTGTATCTGACATCTATAACTTTGATTTTTATTAATTACGTCAAAATGTTGTATTTGTCGCGCAAAATGGAAAATTTTGATTATAGACCAATCAAAATCAAATGTTTCCCTATATTTAAAAAATTAATTATAATCAAAACCAATACAATTCTATGTTAGGATTTCTCCAAGGAATGTGCATACAAAATGTGGTGACTTAACTCTTAAAAGTGAAGAAATGAGAGTAAATATACAGACTTGGGACTTGTGTTGTCTCAGTTACTATGTTTTATTTCGCATTATGACATATCTAGCACTTTTGCCATTCTATCAGAGCATACACAAACACAAGGGACCCGGTAGTAATGTGATTCTTCCACTCACTCAACTTTATGCTACCACTACCATTTGCACTTGCCATGCAGAGTGTAGGTGTTACCTTTATATGAACAAGTTGATTTACATTGCAGGTACTATGGATTGTTTCTATGGTTACCAGAGCTGTTTAAGAGATTAGAGCTTGGTGAGGGATCTGTTTGCTACACTCCAAGTGCTAACACAACCTCGCATAATTCAAACTCTACATGTACAGATGCAGGTAGGAATCATTAATACCATTTAATTTGAAAATACTGCCACATGTGGGGCAAAGCAAATATTTTAACTTCTATATACAGTATTATCCTAGTTGAGTATTATCCCAGTTGAGTTTTAGGGAGATAAGTTGGTAAGATCCCACAATCCCTAAGGTAGATATATATATCTCCCTCTGGATAAACTCCATATCCAAAACCTGCTTGACTTATCCAATATTTAAATCTTACTTGCAATGTTTTGATGAATCATGTCCGTCTTCTTCAGGTACTTATCATGCTACTGGGTTGTTATTCATGGGGGTTTGGGATTAAGGATGTTGTCCCAAAGTGGGCTGAGTTTGCTTATAGAGTCCACTTCTTTCTTAGGTTCACTAATTCTAACTGATGCTTTCCTTGAAGTTTCACCTACATGTTCTTTCTTGCAACCACAAGGAACACTTTAAAACATTACACACACACTGTCTTTCTCCTCACTAGGTCTCTTTTGACCTATCTGTTCACTATCTAGTTTCTGGATCTCTGAAGTGGATTCTCCACAATTACCTAACACCTAAACAATATGGTCATATTTATGTTTTCTTTTCTGATTCTCGTGTGACTAATCATTCCCTCCTCTTCAGTTATGTACAAACTACTGCATTCTTGTGTATCAGTGGGTGATGTAATCAAATACTTAGGGCAGTCATCTGTGTGAGATTTCTCTCTAAAGACTGTCCCATTGAGCTTGCTGTCTTCAGTTCTAGTTAACCTTGTATCCAAGAAGACTTTTCTTCCATCCTGCTCCTGTTCTATGAACTTTATGAACCCAGTCCTGTCAATGCTATTCAAGTGCTGTGTGAGAAGGTATACCTTGTCTTTCTTAACCACTTCCAATATATCATCTACATATCTAAGCCACACAGTGGGTTTCCTTTTAGGAGATCCTGTATCCATGGCTAATTCCTTTATCCATTCCATTTAGAGATTGATGAGATTAATGATACATTTCAGTATATCAGGTGCATCCCATAACTTAATCATATAAATAACACATATCCAGTTTGGATCATATTCACTCGATAGTCGCCCCAGGCAGACATATTTATTTAGAGTGAAAAGTAAAATTGAAGTGCGTCGCCACATTGTCAAACGAAAAATGAACAGATTTTAAGATATATTAATATATGAATGAACTGTATTTTGACTCTTTACGTACACCAGCACTTGGGTTTATGAATATATAACATAATTAGATCATTAGAAAACGTGTAAGATTTGTTTTGAATTCACAAAAATGTATGTAACTTCCTTCAAAATTGAGCTAGAAGCTTCCTCTATCATCATATTCATATTTTCATTGGTTATGGGGGGGGAGTGCGATCAAACCCCTCCTGGCTGCGCCTATGACCGTATCCGGTACTTCAAATAAAAAGCATTTTAAGGCTCTTTTCTTCCTCTATCATCATGGTCATATTTACATTGGTAATGGGGGGGGGGGCGTGCGATCACACCATCGAACCCCCTCCTGGCTACGCCTATGATCGTACCCGGTACCCAAAAAAATGAAAAAAATACGAATATATTACATAATTAGATCATTAGAAAACGTGTAATGGGGGGGGGATGCGATCGCACCATCGAACCCCCTTCTGGCTTCGCGTATGACATTGTAAGACAATTTAAAAAACATGACAAATCAATCTTACTCTATTTTCAATAGTTTGTATATTGGTACGTGAATTGTTTTGATTATGATTTAAATCTGTAAATAGCTATCATTACTTTAGCAGAGAGGTGATGCAACGTGTAAGATTTTGATTATTTATCATAATTTAAGTTATCCCAATTTTCAACGAAACGTCCACTAAAGTGTAAATTGTTACGTCTTACAATGTCATACATGTAGGCGTAGCCAGGAGGGGGTGCGATCACAAAATGCGCCCAGTTTGCATCCAGACAATGAAATGTATCTACTTGTCCGCCCTAAATGAACAATTTCTATGAGAAAATGATTGATAATTCTCTTATTTTGGTGAGCAATGATAGAGTTAGTTCAGAAAACAATGTCAAGCTGAAACTAATAGTTCAATACCTTCACAATCATTCTAAATGAATATATAAGCTCAGCTTACCAAATTGATGCTACCAAATATTTTAAATGTAATTTTCCACTATCGAGTCTGAAAACACAAGCCACTTGCCAATTGGTGAGTAATGGAAAAATCCTAAGACAGACACTGATATCAAGACTACATGTAATTGCATGATGAAATCACAAAACTCCGAAATGTATTCACATTGACAGTTAAAATATTGTAATCTGTAGATTTCTCAAGAACCGTTTTGATTCTCTATCTAAAAATGTGAGGCTATCCTGCCCTATTTACTCCCATACAGTAACCATCACAGAACATTGTGCCTTCCCAATCATGCTGTAGATACACTATACTCCTTAATTTGGCTAATATATTCTCTGCCTTATCCACCAAATTAAAACAGGACCCAAATTAAGTGTATCTGCAATACTAGCCCATAAAGTGCTGAATACAATTATCAAACTTCATTCCTATATAGGGAATCCTTTTAGTCAGCAAACAGGACACTGGTACTACTTCTGTAGGTTCTAGGGAATACTATACCCAGAAGTGATGTATAACTTTTTTAATTGCAAAAGTACCAATGCACTGTATGGATCCCTGGTTTTTCACTGGATCTTGCAACTTATATGAATGTACTTAATACTAAACTAGAGTACAGTGTATATCTGAAACCCATGATTTGCCCAGAAGCTCATACAGCACTGTTTCCTTTGGTCACCCAATATTTCTCTGAGGGGAATTGGTTTCACCTGTCTTAACATCAAAATATAAAACTATAATTATCAAAATTACCAGCCACTTCCTCCTTTAGCTAGTATCAGACAAGTATTTACATCAGTTCATGTTTTTATTTTTTCAATTTCAGGACTTGACACAAATATATATTCAGAGAGTATGCTGACTGCCTTGGCAAACCTACCTGGTAACATACTCACTATTTTCCTCATGGACAAAATAGGCAGGAAAATATTATTGAGTAAGTCCATTTTAAAGATCTTAGGTAACAAAAATTTTCTAATTCACCCTTTTACAAGTACATTCTTATTATACACTATATTTCATTTCCTAAAATTGTCAGTAAACTGGTGTGAGTGGCAACTTGAGTGTTTGCTAAATAGCTTTGAAATGTTGTTAATTCACCATTTAATGCGATTTTAGGAGCTTTGCATTCAAAACAATTAAAGTATACTATCAGTTATCACACGTTTCAGCATGTGATACAGGAAATATTCCACGAAAGGTAATACTGTATCATCCACGAAAGCGAAGCTTGAGTGGTGATACATTGTTACCCGAGTGGAATATTTCCTGTATCACATAAGCTGAAACGTGTGATGACGATTTTATCACATGTCTAGGAATTTTGAAGCATTTTGATTTGGTCAGTTATGATTGTGTTCAGTACTTCTGGTAACTATTATAATTTTTGATTTCGCTTTGAAACAATATGACGTCATACCGTTGTATTCGTACTTGTTTGTGAAATAGTATGACGTCATATTGTTTTCCTTAGCTAGAAGTGATATAATCAGTGACGTCACATCGTTGCTATTGATCATCACTGGTTGCCTCTAGTAACGTGTGAGGCGGCCGTGTGAGACGGGAAAACTCACACGGTAACCAACCAATCAGATTACTGGAATTTTACAGAGCATGTGATAAAAACATTTTCCTCTATTTGATAACTGGCATATTTATTCCACCAAACGAGGTTCAATGGGGATATAGAAAAGCTGTTCATCAGTCAATCCACCCATCCGCCCATTCGTCTGTCCGAACGCTTTAACTCAAATACCGGTGGATGGATTTAATTCAAATTTTATAGGCTTATGCCTCATGGGTGTAGGACCTCTTCTCAAGAAGGAATTTTCAATATTGGGGCTCATTTCAAAATGGCCACCATTTTTCGTAAAAAATGTAATCTTTAATAACTCAAATACATGTTGACAGATTTGGTTCAAATTTAATATGCTGATGCCTTGGGACAATACAAAGGAGCTTATGCTCAAGAAGAAATTTTCAAGGTGGCCAATGAATTTCAAAATGACCGCCTTTTTTCGTTAAATACATAATCTTTAATAACTCAATAGAAGTGAAGGGATTTTCTTCAATTTTATATGCTGATGCCTACAGACATGGGAGAAAGAAAGAATTTTTAAGATGGTGGCTAAATTTCAAAATGGCCACTATTTTTATAAAAAAACATAATCTTTAATAACTGAAATACCAGTGAATAGATTTGGTTCAAATTTTATATGCTTTATATGCTCTTTGAATACAAAGAAGTATAAATAAAACCAAGCAGCTCTCTTCATGAAAGAAATTTCAAGATGGTGACTGAATTTCAAAATGGCCACCATTTTTCCGCTAAAAATTAATCTTTGATATAACTGAAATACCAATGAATGGATTTGAGGCAAAGGAGTGGTATCGATATGGTAAACTTTTTGAACATGGGTTTCTCTTAAACCAGTCATCAAAACATTCTGAAACATTTTACACATCGTCAATTTAATGGTCATCTTTTGAATGGTAACAATATAATTTGAAATATATCCTTTTCTCTATATTGTTTTAGAAAACATATCAGACACTTCTTTTTGTTCTTGGTATCATATGTTCGGAATGAAATGAAACATCTATCCGAACCTCATTGGAACAAAATGACATAAACAAAATGTGTTTAGGTCTCTCAATATTGTAATTGTACAAAGGAAAGTTTGGTTGATTCTAAAAAAGTATCTTGTTAATGGAATAAAATGTTTATCTTAATTTTTATCTTTTTGAGGGGTTTTGTTTTAGGTTTTTGAATAAAATCAACCAAAATTTCCTTTGTATAACTGTAATATTGAGAGGTCTAAGAAAATGTTGTATATGCAATTTTTTTTCAACAAGGTTCAGGAAGACATTTTATTTCATTCTCAAGAATTGAATTTTTCAAGATGGCCACTAAATTTCAAAATAGTCACCATTTTACATATAATAACATAGTCTGTGATAACTCAAATATCAGTGGAAGGATATGGTTCAAATTTTATATGTTAATGCCTAGGGACAAACAAGCTCTGCTGTTAGAAGGAATTTTCAAGGTGGGGATTCAATTTCAAAATGGCTGCCATTCTTTGTTAAAAAATGTAATCTTTCATAAATCAAATAAAAGTGGGTGGATTTGGTTCAAATTTGATATGCTGATGCTAGGGACAAAGGAACTCTGCTCGAGGGAAATTTTCATAGCTGATGCTTAGATATAAAAGAGATCTGCTCAAGAGAATATTTTCAAGATGGTCATTATTTATCAAAATGGCCATTTGTCATTAAAATTGTATTCTTTGATAACTCAAATACCAGGTTTCTCAAGAAGAAATTTTCAAGAAGGAAGCTGGATTTCGAAATGGCCCCCATTTTTCAAAAAACATAATCATTGATAACTCAAATACCAGTGGATGGATTGAGTTGGTTCAACTTATTATCAAAATGTTTTGTTCGGTGGGATTTGCTACTCCGTGCAGTTGCTGTTTTTCCAGTTTATATTTGAACAACTTTGATATGCACTGTTATTAACCTTAATTCAGATTTTCAGACTTTTCATGTTTCCTGAAAAAAGTTGTGATAAAATCCCCATTGAAATCTTTAAAACTTCTTTTACTCTTAAAGTGTCCGCCTTTTCTGGTTACATATAGCACAGAGTTTACACTTGCGGATTAGATTAGTTATAGTGTTAAAGCTCTCTTAATATTGTTTTTATTTACTCAAGTGATGTGATAATACTTTTCCAGTAAATATTTTTTATTATAATTGTTTAGGCCCTTAGCCAAGGGGATGGGGGTGGTCAGGGTAACAACTGGGCAAAAATACTTTCAAAGTCATGTAAGGTTTACCATTTTGTGTACTTTTCAATGATTTTAGGGGTCATTATCAACTTTGAACTCGCTCGGAATAATTTAAAATGCCCCCCTCCCCCATTGGCAAAAGCTGGCTGTGTAGGATTTGTAGGATTAGTACATTATTATCCCATGATGCACTAGTGTACAAACAACTGGCTCTTTGAATACAAAAAAAAGTAGGAATAAAACAAGCAGCTCAACATGTACAGTGTGATCGTGGAAATCGTATAACTTAAATTCGTATATATGACAATGGTTGAGGGTATTCACTTTTATAGTTTGTCAGTGCCTGGAGGCATGCACATTTAATATTTTTTCGGACTTAATAAAGATCGTAATTTTAATATTATATCACAATCAGTATGTCAGCAAGATCACATAGTTAACTGCCAATAGCATTTCACATTAATCCAAACAGAATTATACTTGAGAAATTAAGTGACTTTCTGCCAGTTGTTTCTATATTATGAATAGTATCCTGGCCCTACAAACACATGCTGCCATCTAGTTATCTATATCTATATAGCATATGATCTAATGATATCCAATTGATATGACACTGATTCCAATTGATATGACACTGATTCCAATTGATATGACACTGATTCCAATGGATGTGACACTGATTCCAATTGATATGACACTGATTCCAATTGATATGACACTGATTCCAATTGATATGACACTGATTCCAATGGATGTGACACTGATTCCAATTGATATGACACTGATTCCAATTGATATGACACTGATTCCAATGGATGTGACACTGATTCCAATTGATATGACACTGATTCCAATTGATATGACACTGATTCCAATGGATGTGCCACTGATTTCAATAGATGTGACACTGATTTCAATTAATTTGACACTGATTCCAATGGATTTGACACTGATTCCAGTGGATGTGACACTGATTCCAATGGAATTGACATTCTGGATTCAGTGGAAATGACACCTTAACTACAATTAATTTGACACCACTACTCCACTTGGTATATAAAGCACAATGTTAAAACAATATACAAAAATCAGTACATTCTAAAGTCCAAAGGCCCATCATTGCTTATGTATCCCCTCCTCACACCTCTCCCATATGCTGTATACTCATGTTCTTTTATATTCCATTTATTTCAGCATCTAGTATGATCATCTCAGGTGTTAGCGTCTTCTTCATCTACCTCGTCCACAACAAAGTTGAAAGTCTTGTGATGTCATGTGTCTTTAGTGGTTTCTCAACTATAGGCTTTAATGCCATCAATGTAGTTCAGGTGGAGCTCTATCCAACACAGTTAAGGTGAGACAGCCATTTTGATACAAACATTTTACTCAAATAAGATTTGTGTAATCAGTGATGGTTTTAAAAGATATGTTTACCTGTGCAATTATTCTGTTTTAAAACCAACATTTACAGGGTTTGTAATTATAAAATTAACTTCATTCAATGTAAAAGCATATACCTACTATAGTTTGAGAGAAACAAGTATTTAAAACTTGAAAGTAATAGATAAATATGATTTGATGTCATGAAAGATAATGTTTCGTGGTTCATAAGTGAAAGAAAAAAAGAAAAAAGAAAAACATGACATCGCTGGGTTTTAAACTCACTCTCTCAAAATGTCCTATCAATACCCATTCAGCCAGCGCTCTAGTCAAATGCCCTACAAAAAAGCTTATGTTTTGTTTTGTATTTTTGTTTACCACCAATGAAGGTGAGCAATACCTCATGGGCATATCCCTTATATATACGGTCGTAATTTACGTAATTAACATGGAAGATAGACCCAGAAACCCCTCCTTGAAGGAGCCCTGTGTTCTTTTATGTGCACTTATACATAGACATACAAGTACACACCACAGCCTTTTGTATGAGTTGCGGACCACTCAGTCAAACACCCTGAAGTACTTTACGCAAACAAGCAAATTTAGTCTTGCCTGAACCGGGGATCGAATCCGGGACCTATTGCGTAAGAGGTACCTGTGCGACCGCTGAGCTGCACGTGTGGACTACCACTACGCTTATACAACATATCATTTGAAAATGAACTATTTTTTTGAAACCACATTACTTTTTGGCCTAGAATTGTCTGAGAGTCACTTTAAGTATGAAGATTGCTTTAACATATTTTTCTCTGAAATAAAAAATAAATAAAAAGTACTAAATGGAAAAAATCTTCTGGTACAAGACTTCTGAATCAGTTCTGTATAAATAAAAGTCAGTGTATGAACTACATTTGCAATCGAAATGAAACTAGCAGCTAGAAGATTTATCAATCCTCAGCAAGTTTTGAGTGAGTGCATTTATTAGACTCAAGATTGAATCTAGAGTCTATTGCTTTTGCCAGTATTCTTCTTCTTTTTATTATCCCATCGAACAAAGTTCGGAGGGATATAGGGAACGCCTTCGTTACAGACTAAAACAGGCTCAAAAAGAGAATGTTATAGCTCCTATAGACAAGGCAGCTAACAACATTGGATTCATATGCAAAAATACTACATCAAGAAAACACATTACATACATTAAAGAAGAAATACAAACCAATACATATGAACAGAATGAAGTACAAGACGAAACATCTATTGTAGATGAAATGAAGAGGGCCATTCAAGATATATTCAACATTGCACCAGAAGAGGGAAAAAACGTACTTACGAATATACACCTTAAGTTGAAGATGCACAAAAATCCTATCAAATGTAGGTACATCATAAGGTCAAAGTTCAATTATAACAGCAGCAAGAAACTAACAAAAATTCTTAAATTAGTACAAAAATGCAATGAAAAATACTGTGAAAAGATTAAAAACCTAACTGGAACAAACAGGATGTGGATTTGCCAAAATAACAATGATGTCCTAGAATTTGTTAAAGAAGTAAATATGAGAAATGGAGCAAGGAATATTGTGACATTTGACTTTTCGACCCTATATACAAATATAAACCTACAAGATCTGAAACAAAAACTAAAATGGACCATAGAAAAAGCATTTAAAGGTGGAAGAAATCAAAAGATTAGTGTAAATGGTGAAAATGTAAAATGGGGAGTATTTCCTACAGGGGTTTTAAAGATATCCATTATGGGTGACCAAAATTAGCTGAAAGCAATGGATTTGCATGAGTTTTCCCTATGGGAAAATAACATGGGAAATATTGTTTTCCACTTTATCTAAAAGGAATCACTTATTCCTTTAAAGGGGTTAACTGTGGATCAGAACGCAATATATTTATACAAGAATTAAATTATAAAAACCGGAGTGGAAGGGGTTGAAAATCAGGAAAACATTTCAGAAAAAACATGTGTCAAAGTCAAAGTCGAAATAATTCTATTATCTCTAGAAGTGTTACCGTAGTAAAAGCTTTAACCCACCGATGTGTAATCACAAGTCTGCAGACCTGACAACAAACAAGACCAAAGAGGAAAAGTAATAGGGAGAAAGAAGACCAAGAAAGAAGAAACTAAAGAAGACAAGAAAGTAACAACAACAGAAAAAAGAAGAAGAAACTAAGAAGACAAAGGGTGAAAAAATTATATAGGACATTAATAAAGCTAGAAATGTAAATACTAAAGAAGCACATGGCCTTTACTCGTTATTTTACGATGGTTTTTGCTGTAACTCGAAAAGTAATGGAGCGATTTTGTTCATATTTGGTATGTGAAAACTTTAAGCATGGCACACTGTCTAACAACACTTTTGGTAGAAAGCGACGATTTTGAAAAACAGCCGCCATTTTAACGCATTTTACTATAACTCGAAAAGTAGTGTAGCGATTTTGTTCATATTTGGTATGTGAATACTATAAGCTTGGTATACTGTCTAATGCCACTTTTGGTAGAAAGATGGCCGCCATTTTAATGTATTTTACTATAACTCGAAAAGTAGTGGAGCGATTTTGTTCATATTTGGTATGTGAATACTATAAGCATGGTACACCGTCTAATGACACTTTTGGTAGAAGGCAGCCATTTTTCAAAAAGGCCACCATTTTAACGTATTTTACTATAACTAGAAAAGTAGTGGAGTGATTTTGTTCATATTTTGGTATGTGAATACTATAAGCATGGCACACTGTCTAATGACACTTTTGGTAGAAGGTGGCCCTTTTGAAAAATGGCTGCCATTTTTGCCATATACTTTGTTAAAATGCCAGCCATGGCTGTTCGATGGGATTTGCTACGCTTTGGGGTTGCTGTTGTCTAGTTCTTCTGATGAACACGTTTTCTCAGCAACTGTAAGAGCTTACTCAAACCTACTTCCATGGTTAACTAGGGAATGCACCTGAACAGCTTGGAAATAAGCAATAAGCATTTTTATCTAGGTCAAATGTCAAGAACTAGGTAAAATCTTGCTTTTTCAACATTCTTCGTCATATATTTGTCAATACACCTCCTTCATCTTTTTTCACCATGTAACTTAGATTACTTTTTTTGATTACTCTTACCAATTTTGAGATGTTGAGATCCAGAAAGTAGGTCAGAACAAAAAGTTCTCCAAATTTAATGTGTGAGTTTCATCAGGAATCTAAATCTGCAGAATGAATTTCAATTTGACTTCCAGTTTGGAAGTTATAGCATTTTGAGATCTCAAACATTGCTAATTTTGGTATGTTAAGTCAGTGGAGCCGAAGAGTATGCTAATAGTGTTAGCCTTTTGCCGTCAGAAAGTATTTTGACCTATTTTTGAGATATATGGTGTCTGGAAAGTAGGTCAAAACAAAAAGTTTGTGTAAGTTATGAAAGAAGTGTAGATTTTTTCAGGAATCAGAATATGCAGTTTTTATTAATTTTTAAATTTCAAATGAGGGAAGGAGCACAAAAAGCACATGCACATTGTTTTACAGTAGTTTAAAGCCAAACATCAAAGTCACCTGCCAAAATCTGGAAGCTCAATGTCTTATTGTCCTCAAAATTTGAATGTTTTCCAGAAAAAGTCATTCTTGTTTAGTGAGTAGTGTGCCCCTCTGATGAAAGCACATGAAGTTGTTCAGATTAATATTAATTGATGAATATGAATTAAATGTACATATCTTTACTTGCAGGTCCACTGCATATGGCATACTAACTGGAACATGTAGAATTGGTGCAATAGTTGGGAATCTTATATTTGGACAGTTAGTAGATGTAAATTGTGCTGTCCCTATGTTGATGGTGGCTGGTCTGCTGTCTTCAGGAGGCTTAATGGCTATAAAATTGCCTAATAAGACACAACAAGATATCAACTGAAATATATTTTGCTCAAAATAAAACATATGATTATGTGAATTATGTGAACAAACACTGAATATTTTGTTCATATTTAATATATGGATACTCATAAGAATGGCTAGTAGCATTTTAATATTTTTATCCCAACAAAAGTTCTGTAGGGATATTGTGAAGCCATTCATCTGTCCCTCAGTTTGGAAAATAACTTCAATACTAGAAATCTAGTAGCTCTATTATACTCAAATCAAAGGCAATTTAGAGTAGATTTCAAATATTGTATCATTTTTCTGATTCGGACAGGATAACTAAACCACAACGTACAAAATTTCCCAAAACACGACTCATATATTTACCATGATAGTCCATTAATAGCAGTAGTAAAGTCTATTTATGTCTCACACACTAAAATATATAGTAACTGTATGAGAGGGTTGTCCCAGAAGTAATGCACTATATGCTCTAACTTTATCAATAATTGATATTTGTACATGAAATTTTCAGTAAATGTTCCCTAGAGATTTCTCCCAATTTAAATCAGGTGAGGGACACAGTAGCTCTGTTCGAGAAAGATTTTCAGAATGGCAGCTGAATTTCAAAATGGCTGCCTTTTTGTAAAAAAGGAATGTAATCTTTGATAACTCAAATGCATATTTACGGATATGGTTTACATTTTAAAAGTTAATTGAACAAGCTCAAGAAAGAATTTTCAAGATGGCCACTAATAATCCGTTTTGTTGGGTGCGATTTGCTACTCCGTGGAGTTGCTGTTTTTCCAGTATTACATTAAAATGTTACATAAAAATTAAATATGAGGGCTGATCAGGAAGTAATGGACCTTTGCCAATGTTCAGTCTTTTTTATGATTTTGTGACACAATATAGCCCATATATTCTGTCAAAATGTATGTGAGTTTCATTGCTATATGACATCATTGCGCTTTTGTCTTGGTTGCCATGGTAACTGGTGTCACAACAAGGTTGATTTGCTTTCCAGTGCTTTTTATATCATTTTGTTTAGATATTGAATGTACCAATATTCACCAATATAACTGATCTACAATATGTCATTATGATGTCATAGATATGATGTCATTGTGTGTCCTAACACTTTGTTGTCTTGAAAGTAGGTTATTCAAAAAACGTTTTCCACATGCCATCCGGAATGAGCGAGGCCTTCACTTTCTAAGGAAGTTCCGTCTTCATCACGACAATGCCCCCACACTGAGCAAATCTAAACCAAGATATGATTGATACAATTGGTTGTGTTTTTTTTGTTTTTTTAGTTGTCTTTAACAATTTCATATACAATTTTACATGAAATATGCTGCCAAGTGCCAATGGCATTACTGGCTAGCATTTATTATTACATCTTTAGTTAAATATCATTCATAAAAAACATAGATGTATGTGCTTAATTACTCAGATGCAAGTAGGTAGTTACCAGTTTTGCCACCAGGTGGCTGATTCAGGGGAATTAACATTGCAGAGTATTACAAAGTTCCACTTGAATATGCACGAGTTTTAATAGTTCACTTTTCATATTACCTTTATCAGTTTATGTATCTGATAGTTATACAAATTAAAATATGTCCAGTAAAAGAAAATATTATCTGCCCAACACAAGAAAAGATATTTCACTTTTTGTGGTTTTACAACATGGGCTCTATGGGGAATCTCCCCGACCTAGAAGTCACATTTTCAAAGAAAATTAAATTTTCAAAGTTGATAAAGTGTTTTCAAAACCACATTTCTAAATGTAATTTTACATGTAGATTCCAAATATGACATAAGTTTGACTGAATTGTGAAATTTTAATGACGTAAATCAAGATTATTTCTACTCGCATCTGGGATATTGCATTATTTCCCCATTATTTATCCACCAATTTACCCATGAATTCTACAAATTGGTAAAGACATGAAAGATGGACTGTTCCATGTATTTGAAGATTAAATTAAGAGTCATTGGAAATATGTAGCTCACAAAGGAAATTACTTTGAAGGTGTAGAATTGATTAAGGAGTTATGTGAACATAAAAACGCCAGATTTTTGGTGATTTTGAGAGAATTTATACATGTATCCAATGCTTCTGTGAGCTACAATATCTAGAGTAACCTATTTTGTGTGTATAAGTGGCATAACTTATGATAACACAACGCTTATGATATTAGAATATCAGATAACCAATATCATTCTGATTGTTATGTCATAATGCAAAACAATAGACGCCTAATTAAAATATCTAATATCAAGATTTTTGACAAATTCAAATATATTTGAAACATTTTGTTTTATATATAAGATACATACATGCATGTCAATATGATTATCTTCATGATCTTACTTACTATATTTCAAATATCACCTATTTATTATCAGATTATGCTCATTTTTAAATAAACAATACATACTGTTTACAAAAACAATAATTTCATATTATGCTCTCTGGTCTGCTTTCTCATGTATATCTGAACACCAACAGCACATTCGTTGAACAAAATAATAGTTTATTAGTTGCAACTTGTTGTATCGTTGTTGTTGAACTCAACATTCAGTTATTCTATATTTCCGCAGATGACCATTCCGACTACTGTTCCCATTCATGTCTGGACTTTGCATACTGTGTATTCTGTTTGAGAATCTTGAACTAATACTTATGTGTGATCCATTTGGTGTGACTCCATCAATGTGTGCTAATGAATTTTGTTCAGCTAAAGCTGTGTTCATCTCATCTTTAAGCGTGTTCACTTTCTTACAACTAAGCGGAAACCAATTGTGGCAGAAATCATCTTTTAACACAGAAAGCCTCCGCTGTAATTCTTCTTTGAATGTTTTACTTTTCTGAAATTATATTTCATCTCATGAGTTCTGGTTTTTCAGTCTTGAGGAACACTATTAAATTGATATCTCCAATATATTAAAGTGACAAATGGGGGCATGTTGTCAAATTTCATTAATTTGCTAAGAAATCTTATTTTTCAAGAAAGTATGGATCAGAGTTTATTTGAGGGGTATAGGCCTAAATGGCGTCATGGCTGTATACTTACTTCTTTATTTGTGGGGTCTACATGGATGCTGATATGTATGATCCATTCCAATACAAGCACAAGGAAACTGATGCCAAAGCCCACATATATTATCCAGAAGACGCCCCATAGAGAAGGCATCCCAACCTCCACTGTCTCTTCGTCTATGCCTCCACTATCTGCCTGGGAACATGTGGCTGATTTGCTTACCCTATAATTGAATAATGATGAATATACCTACAGTGTACTAGTACTAGTGTAAAATGTTGCATAAGGACAGGTTCATTGTGACACAAGAATATTACTATTAAGAGTCAACTGTTACAAACCATTTATCTATAAGATTATCAATTGCTCCAGACTCTCTCATGGCATATATCTGCACAGTAAGGTCCTCGGCATATAGTGATGACTTAGAGAGACCAAACCCATATCCAGCCATACCAAATCCATTGCTTACTACCTTTAAAAGACAATCCTGGCCTGGAAATATATTCATTTATAACTAAATTTAATTTTTCAAAAATCATTCATAACATTGCTTTAATAAAAAGACAATTAAAATGAAATAAGTAGTGACATTTTTAATTTGAGTTTTGTACATAAGGAGGATGGAAACTGTCGCAACAGATTTTAGACATTCATATGTTGGATTTTGTCTGTTTTCTGAGGATTGAAACAGGTGCATATGTTAGGCCAATACATTACCTACAGGAAAAGTATTATAGAGATGATGAAATTTTGTAATTTAATTTACTTAACAGCACCCATTTAAGACTTTCAAATGTTTCATGATTAAAGTTATTCAAACTGTTGGTCCATTTGGATTAATAATACAGTATGCCAGTGTGTCGATCATACCTTTCCAATAGTTGAGTAAGGGCAGATCGAGAAGTAACGCAAATGATCCATTGTTTTGTTGGGTATGATTTACTGCATCAAATGTAGTGTCAAAGTATGTCTCCCATTTTCTCATATTGTCACCCATTTGTCTGAAAAAATCATGATTTTATTCCACGATAAAGAAGCCAGTTATCTGTTTTTGAGACATTCAGATTACTATCCGCTTATACCTCACATTCAGCTATAAGACGGGCGAGGGGGCATAATCATAGCAAAGACACAGAGGCAAATCATTGTTGCATGCCATGTGTGATATACTATAGTACATTGTAGCTTCACGAAGGACAAATTGCAAAATAATAGCAAATGACGAATAAAAAGATTTTGATCAATATTGAAAATCACAAGGCAGGACTGTTAGACCGAAGTCAACTTACTTATAGGGGTCTCTCACTGATGTATCAAAGAACGTTTGTACTTGATGTTGATCAATGGTACCATACTTTAAATCTGATGCCTTGAGATCTTCGATTGAGTTGACATCCACGTTACTGGCCTTTATGGTCAAAAAAGCAGCCAGGTTGGCTGTATATGTAGCGATAATGATCAGCGCTCCAAACCACCATGCAGTAGCACCCACTCGACCTACAAATATTATATAGCCAAGCATGCATTATGAGAGCACAATGTAATACAATAGGGAAGTTTTGAAATACAATTCCTTTACATCATATTTATTAAGGAAATACAGAAAAGATTAGGATAGGAAACCCAAAATGGCGACCTTAGAATTTACCAAGCACACCGAAAAACAAATCAGCTTCGAAACCAGATGTTCATAAAAATGAAGATGAAATTAAGATTACAATCGAAATTACGACGAAAATTCCAAAAGGACCAGCAAGCCCAAAGTCTAATCAGTTCAAGATTGTCATACAAAGAAACATTCATGAAATTTAGAAATGATTCAGGAAGTGGCTTGGCTGAAAACGCCCGGACAAGAATTAACAAACAATTAGTTTTCCAACCATCTTTAATTAACCAAGCAAACCCAAAGTCCTATTCATTACAATTGTCCCCAAGGGTTCGAGAAAAATGTTTACACTACCTGACCAAGATTTTGGATGAACCTCTCCCCCTTGCTCGAACAATGATGCAAATGACCAGAATATTGCGTTGTGAATGTTGAAATTACGTTTCTCGCGTTTCCATTCCAGTACCTCCCAGTGATCTATTGTACCGTCCTCATTCTTGTCCATGGCTTCAAACTCGTCCTCGTGGGCAATTTGGGCTTTTTTACCTGCAAGTTATTCATCATTTAATAGTTTAAATGTTAATGCCCATATGCTTTAGCGAAGAGGAAGGGACTGAGTCGAAAAAGCACTTCGACCTCTTAAAAGTCATTGTTCACGAAAGCATGGGCTCTACCGCCCATGACGAAAGGTACAGAAATTGAAAGACGATGGGATCCCCTGAAACCACATTTCTAGTCAATTGACTAGAACCCTGTTAAACCTAACATAATTATCACATAAGTATACACTTGTCATTATTATAAGGTATGCAGAAAACATACTTTTCAGAAATAAACTACATGTATTGAAGCCTGTTAACTATGATTCATTAAAAAATACATTAAAATTAAGTAATCTTTATCGAAAATGAGCCTAAACCGCAGCAAACCTATTTGCCTTTGTCAAATTTGCTTCGATTTTCAATACGACGACCGGCCGATGGTTTTTTTGTTCACAGAAGCCGGTGTAGGACATAGGTGGTCCTATAAAGTTTTGGTCCTACTCTTCATTGATTTTGTATGGTGACCTAATTACAATTATTTTCCTTATTATTTATACACAGTCAGGGCCGGTAAGGGCCGTAAGGAAAGGGACCATAATCCCCAGGGGAGCATAATTTCTTTCACACCGGTGCTAGGGACATTGAAAAATCGGCAGATTCCTGCTTATCAGCCGGCGTCCGGAGCAAATGTGACCAAGGCATAAGGGTGCGAACCTGGATCCTCCTAAAAAGTTTAAAATGCATGTAGGATTGAATGTGTTTGACAGAGGGTACAGTATATAGAAAGACGAAATTAATGAAAATGAGGTAAGGCGTATAATGGAATTAACCCGAAAAGAGAGGCCTTGTTCAAATGTTGGATGGATCATCATGGGTATCATGTCTTGGGGAGTTCTGAGTCTTGATGTGAATGCATGTATGTGGAGTAACCACAGATCCAGAATAAACCAGGATTTGACAATAAACACTAACATGTCAGCTGTATTAACCCTGAAACGGTTAGGGGGAGAGCAGATCTGCCCTCAAGGAATTTTTTGATAGCCTTTTTCGTACTTTACCTGAAAAGTTCTGGGCTTTTAGCCAAAAACTCTACCCTCCCCCCGTAGGGGGAAAGTTAGAGCTTGCCAAAGTTACTGAAATACCCAAACTGTCAGTAGTTTTGACTTGAAACGATAAACCCCTATGTTCTTAGAATATGAACTTCTTCATCAATATGGCTCGATATAGTTATAAGTAAGCTCAAAATACCGATAATTGAAAAACCATTTCAATGGTACTTAATACACTCTCCTATGATTAATCATCTCCGTGATCATGCGGGGTATAATTCTCGATAGCCTAACTGTTTAAGGGTTAATTGTTAACGATGAAACTGGTTTACTGGTATTCGACAAGACATTTGATAAGACAAGATTACACTGTACATTTGAGTGTCGGGTTCACAGGAGAAATTAAACTTATACAGGGTGCTCCAAAAGTAGCGTGCTGCCATTTCACTTATACTGCATCAATCGAGGAACACTGTACTGTACAGTGTATGTAAATTCGAATACATCCAAGGCACGAAGGGTTGGGTTGATCGTTCACGTCTATAACAAACTTAATTATATCGTATGGTTTGGTTTTGCTCATCGTGCAATCAAGTCCTGATCAATCATATGCTTTGCTTTCTTCACGGACTTACAGAATATTCGTGCTTTCCCATACAGATTGGTTAATAATATTCAGATTGATGTCTCTCAAACCATATGATATCACTACCAACGATATATCTGGTAGCCCAACATACATGTACACCAAAAGGGAACATTTAATAGTACAATAACGTCATTTCAAAGGGCAATATTTAGAGATTATGTCACTATGACGTGAAATATGCCTGAGTTCTCCCAATATAGGCCGACCTTGGGAGGCTCTATATTTGGGCAAGAACGAAGGCATATTTCACGTCATAGTGACATAACTGATGTATTACATGCCTTTGTTCCCATGGTTACTTTGTATCAATGACGTGACGTCATGATATTATCATGGTTATTAAAGAAATCTAATATCAAAACGAGGTAAGCGGGCTATATCGGGGTAATCGGGCAATATCGGTGGATATAGCTCGCTAACTTTCCCATTGACTTCCATACAAATGCTTCGCTAGGTATGTAATACAGTGAAATATTGGACCAAGGGCCGCAGGCCCAAGGTCCAATCGCAGAAATGACGTTATTACTATTATTACCACCGTTAAAACCCCAAGAACAGGCCCTGCAAGGTGGTAATAATATGCATTGAGGCGGAGTTTCGCCGAGTCATATGCTATGCAACGGGTATTTTACTTGAAGTCTCGACAAGTCTATTGCGACACTTGTGTTGAACTAATTGAACTTTGTCTTGATGAGTCTATTCGAACGCCCGAAAAGCTATACAAATGAATACATATTCCGCCGTATGAGTCTATGACTCGTGGAATTCCTTTGGACAAAGTCCTGTACTGCCCCATTGATGTACGCAAGCCTTTGCTACTGTGGTTACCATCTGTAATGCCTGGGTCACATTTACCCCAATTCATCGGCCGGCGCCCGGCCGATTGAGTATCCTGTTTACAATTGTATTCAGTTTTGAACAGAACACTCAATCGGTCGAGCGCCAGCCGATGAATCGGAACAAATGCGACCAAGGCATAAGCGCAGAGGGGATTAGTAAGTACACACTACATTATAATAAAGGACCGAGAGCGATGTTCAGGGCTAACATAGAATAAACAAAGTGCATTGCATCATTGCATGGCTACAGTGTTTTATATGTCTGCTTGTATTTAAAGTCATTTCACTGCCATAGCATAGCAAAACATTCTTTACAATTAATATCGTTAAAAAAGATTGGAAATTTAAACACAACCTTCATAAATTTATTGTTTTGCATTCATCATGCTTTCCCTATAAAGGTGACTAGTTATTAAAGCCTTTGAAAATTGTGCAAATTGTCTGTTATAGAATAGCAATAGTGTGTTCTGATTGGCCAGAAAGTAATTGAATGCATACGTTCACATGTCTTGGTCACATTTGCTACGATTTTTAATACGGCGCCCGGCAGATTGAGTATTTTGTTCAAAATTGAATACAAATTTGCACAAAACACTCAATCTGGGCAAATGTGACCCAGGCATTAGTTCTGTGCGAATGTCTGATACGTTATTTATTGTAATACGTATATTTTAGCTTCGTATACTATGTTCTGATTGGTCAGAGAATGACAATGTACTTCTAGCTATGCGGGAATATTTGATAACTAAAGCAATGAAGATGTTAGAGTACAGGGTAAAACATAATAAGGCTGCGTTTTTGAATGCCCGCGGCGCAAGTCGGTTGCATAATACTTAATAAGTTTTCTCCCTAGTATCACGAAAAACAATAAGCCCAGCGGGGCAAATTACATGATGACACGTTTCCAATAAAAATAGCCCATCCAAGCGCACATACACTCACATATTTCTTTTGAAAGACATCGTGATATATTGCAATGAAACTTATGTGATGCACGAGCGAGTAGCCAACGCGATCGACACACGCGGTTAGCCGAAGTTTTACACAGCATAATTAGCGGTGTACGTGAGCTTGGATGAGCTGTTTTTGTTGTTAACGAGCGTGAGCATTTGCACTGCAGGAGCTTATTGTTTTAATTCGTGATACAAAGGGGGAAACTTGGGCAAAAACGCAGCCTGGATGAAGCAAAGGTATCCAACACCCGATTTTCCATGATATGGACTTAATACTTTAGTCTATGAAAAGAATAAAAAAGCGCTACAAAATCAATGTACTATGTGCTTTCAAACCTTCTTCACTTTTTTTGTGAACTGATTTATCTCGTGGAACAACCTGCGCTTTTCGCCCTATAATAAATAGGTTTAAATGATTAAATAATTACATTTCGGTCCCGCCTATATACAGCTAATAAGGCAAAATACAACAAAGGCTACAAATATTCTTCTAAAAATAAATAAAGACAACAAAGGCTTACGGATTACTTTACCTGTGTTTATGGTTTGGTCATGTTACAATTATGAATGATTGCTTACCTATAGTAGAGCAAACTAGGGTGATATAAACGACCTTCTCTGCACTAAGCTTCCAATTACACTGTTGGAAAGCTGAAAGGGTCAGCTTTAAGAATCTGACTTTCAGTCGAATTTTTAGTGAATGCTAAATAAGTTATTAATCCTTTCACCCCCAATGGGTCATTTATTAATTTTATCAAAATCAATTTCAAAATGACAAAAAACATGACCAGAATGGATTATTTTTAAGTTTACAATAACCAGTTCAATGTCAAATTATACTTTGGAGAATATTTAAGAGTTTCAAACCAGCTGGCTGAAATGGGGGTCATTAAGTGCAGTAACCCCATTATGCTACAAAATGCGTCAGAAGTTTTGTTTTCGGTAGAAATTAGATTTGATAATTGAAAATAGTGTGTACATTTGGGTATTTAGGAATGTAATATACAAATTACTAATTTTCTCCTGAGAATATCAAGATTGCAGCAAGTGTGTATTGACTTAACATGAGAATATGATGAAAACAAGAAAGTTGGCATTGTTTTCAACTATATTTTGGGTGGAAACTTCAATAAGAAAATGTTAACATAACCACGGAGTTTAAATATCATGATTATATACATGTACTATTATGCTGCTTAGACCACAAACTTTGTTGTTGTGACCATTTAGATTAATTAAATATAAAAACCGATTGTCAAAATTTGTTTGATTGAAAAAGCATGATCGATTTCTTAATTTACCCATTGGTGGTGAAAAGGTTAATTCAAATGAAGGTTAGATTCTTAAAGCTGACACTCTCTGCTTTCCAACGGTATATTGGAACCTTAGTGCAGAAGATGTAATTTAAAAATCACAGAGGAGCACACTTATAGGCTTTATTTTGCTCAAGTACAAGAATGTTGTCAATCGTATATTGAGAATGAAGATGACGATGATGTAAATGGATTATTACATTATTTACCCACATCTGAACCTACCATGATGCCCATAAGGACTGAGCTTATCAATACAGCTAAGAGTTAGGGCCACGGCCACCGTAGTACCGAGAATCAAACCCCACAACTCGTATGTGAATGGGATTAGGAACGACCACGGGCTGTAGGTAGGATCAGCCAGGGAGCCCATAAGAATGCCCATTTGGAAGTCCAGGAATGGTTTACTAAATGCAATCACTTGCTGACGTTCGTATGTGATTGTGAATGCACCAACGGCTAGGTCAGATTTCTAGAATAAAATAAAACAACAAAATACAGACCGACTTTGTCCATGAAACCTTACCCGTTCTCTTCGAAAGCACGTGCATACTGTCTTTGTGAATCACAGTCGAGAATGAGCTTCATTCGTTCAGGTTACATATTTACCAGAATTCATTGTAATGGTATCGTTTTAATGACCTTTTACCATACACATACCGTGTCACCATTATTATCTGCTATAAGCTCTGACACCATCCCTGTCCACTTTCCCGTTGACTCATTCCTCGAGCCATATGTGCTGGCCTCGTGTATGACGTAGTTAAACTGGAGCTCCTCCGCGATCTGCTTGAGGATATCAATAGCAAGTCCAGTGAAACAACTGTTGCCCTCACATGCCACACTGTCTGTGTAGGATATATTCGTGGAAGGCTCTTCTTTGAAAACGAATGGTGGATCCTAGAAAGATAGAGTCAACATCACTACTAGGGATACATCAATATTCTACTTGTTGAAACCCAATTACTTTGATATTTTTTGGGAAATGAGGATTTCAGCAAGGGTGTATTGACTTAACATGGGGATATCTCATCATATCATCATGAGGATAGATACAAAATCCTCAGAAGAGATGCATATTATTAGAATTTCATTTTTTGGCTAAACAATCAGTTTATAGTTAGTTATAATAAGATGTTTTAATAAGCTGTTTTATGCTTTATGGGATATCCTCATTCTCTATAAGTAAAAGTGACACTAGCTCTGAGACAAGTTAGGGATGTATGGTAAAATAGATTGATGACACCACGTTCTGGTAAATAAAAAGGTCAATATATTCTAGAGCTAGATGCCATGGGACCACAAATGAAAATTCAGTAAAATGGCCCAAACTGACAATCATAACAATTTCCATAAGCTTTACAGTTACACTGATTAATTAAACACAGAAGAAAATTCTGTGCGAAGGGCTAATGTAAAAATGTCAGTCTGTCCAAGTTGGGATCGAACCCACGATGATGTATTCAGGAGAACAGAGACTTACCACCACAACTGCCACTTTAAGTGTTTTGTTGTTGAGGTCACCTCTATAGTCCATTATATCCAGTAAAGGTTTACCTCCCAATGTGGTGATGTCAGTGATATTTGGAGTCAGTTTAAGTCTGTTCTCCTCATCCCAAGAACCAAACTGAAACGACACAAGTAGCCAATAAACAACCACCGAACACAGGAGGCCAGAATCCAGGTTAGGTCCTGTTAAAAAGGATCCATTCTGGTTGCTGCAGCTCTGCATTTGGAGGATGTCGATGCAATCAAATGATTGATTATGATATTAGATCATGATATTAGTACATCAGTATAGGTGGCGCTGGTGATTGCTATAATGATATTTACCTTTTCCCATCCTTGATTTGTAAAGCGCACAATTTCATACTTTGAGTGTAGAGGGGACCCATAACCGTTGAATCGCAACCGCATCCGTACACCGTCCGTATCCACCTTCAAAATAAAAAAGAACATTGAACGAACAGGTCTGGGAAAGATATGATTATTCCACAGCCATGTCGTGCACAGGAATCCTCATTGACCGTGTTTATAATGATCACCACGTTTGAAACCATTCGAATTTTATAAAGTTTTAGCTAATTGGACATTGTAAATATTGAGCTTTGGTATAATTAATCAAAGGAACCAATCAAATTATTTCACCGTTTCGCCGGTGGAATTTATTACAGAGTAATGGTTGTGATAAGTGTGTAGTAAATGTTACTTGTTTAAGATATTTGAGTAAGTCTTTCCCTTGATCCCAGGGCACAGCCGGAATCTGCTTGCAGTCAGAAACTTTGGTGGATAATCGGATGCCGTCCTCCTCCAGCATTGTGTGCATTGCACTGGCATAAACGAGCACAGCATCGTAGAAACTGAGCATACTACCCTGAAAAAAGAAATAGTCATTGAACAGTATTGCCCCTCGTTGGTAAGCATATGGAAGCCCAAAGTAAATGGGGCAAAACATAACCATTCTCTTTTGAGTCAGGTAGAGTGGCGCTTTTATTGCAAATACCAGGAACTATACGCAAATGTTAAATAAACTTTTAAAAATAAGGGTCTATCGATATATTTGGTCGCTACTTACAGTAAAACTAGTATTGTTGCCTGCCCCGTGGTACATTGTTCCGTTTGCTGCCTGCCAACGCTTCTTGAAGTCGTCATAAAGTGCGCCATCGAAGCTTGTGGGACGGATTCCTACAAACCCTTCCAAGAAGTCGTTTGATTCAAAATTATTTTCAAATGTGTCGCCCTGTAAAACGCATAACGCTTATTATATAAATTTCCGTCTCTAGGACGTGTTACAGACAATGGTCCACCACGTTGGAGCAGTGGCGGCAGAAAATGCAAAAGAAATCAGCGGCTTCTAGGCCTATTCGTTTTGTTAATTCGATAATTTAGGCATTCAATGGGCATTCGTTTGCTACCATTGATACGTACTATTTTGCTTACATAAGTTGTGATGCCATCGGTTCCGATCCAGAGCCAACCTCTGCCCATCATCCCCATGTTGTGCGCTTGTTTCAGTACAGAGAGCGCCATAGGGGTATATGTGTTCAACAATATCACACGGCAACCTAAGAATTAACAGTAGGCTAAATATTGCAAAGGGTCGCTTCTCACAGATGGGGACCCAAACGACGCTAAAAAGAGGGACTCTATAAATAATAATGCACCAAAAGAAAGGCATTTTTGTTTTGCTTTTAATGGAACAAGTTTGAAGAAAAACGGTGCAGTATGAGATACAATCCTTGATTTTTTTTAATGATCTGCAGTTTTGTATATGTATGACTTCCTGGGTGAGCAATCGTAGATTCAGATTCACTGGGTAAGGCAATGTATAGCAAACCATTGTGAGAACTATGGGCGATTTCCTGATGTTTAAAGAAGCACATATATGACATGTCTGTTCATGAATCACTAAAATAGGTATTAAAGTGGAAGAGGCCTAGGTAACTGTGTGTAATCATTGATTGTGTTTACCCGTCTCCTTGATGTGCCTCAGTTGATCAGTGGCGTCTACGTTTGATGCGTTATCTTGAGCTTCGAACTGTTGGACGCTGACCACTCTCCATTTATTTGAAGAGGCCAACGTCTGGAACTGCACAAGCCCATTGATACCTGGGTAATACAGTAAAACTAGTACACGTTCTAGGGAACTTGCATGTGAAAATGTAATAATTCTCCCCTTTATAGTATTCACTTGACTGAGTATCAAGTACATGTTCTCTTAATAGAATGTAAGAAGCTTTTTATCGATTTCATTTAATCGTGCGGAACCATATTACTTGAGCATGATAGAGACTCTAAGTCAGGCGTGAAAGAAATTATGGTCCCCGGGGATTATGGTCCCCCTTCTTAACGGCCCTTACTGGCCCTGATTGTGTATAAAATAATAAGGGAAAAAGGTCACCGTATAAATCAATGGAGAGTGGGACCATAAATTGATAGGACCTCTTACCCTTTTACACCTGCTCTAAGTGCGCTCCTTCGTGGTTTTAAAATTACCTCTTCTGCACTAAGGTTCCAATACACCATTGGAAAGCTGAAATGGTCAACTTTAAGAATCTAGCCTCCATTTGAAATTTCACTAAATGAAAAATTAGATATTAACCCTTTCATCACCAAGGGGAAAAAACACTTTCTCTTTGAAATTACCAAACAAATATCCATGAAAACAATACCAAGTTTCTTTTTTTACATCATAATTCTTCATATAAAACAGGAGAATGTACTTTATACTGGTACTGTATGAGTAAATAGGTGTGGCAATAAATGTCAAAGGTCAAATATTTGGCTTGATAGATTCCACTTAACCTTGAATAGTGTAGTGAGTCACCCATACTACTTGTTTAGATTGCGTGTGGTGCTCCTTTGGAATTAATTATAGCATTGATAAGTATATGGCATATTTAAAAAAGATAATAAAGTCAAAAGTGATATGATGGTACCCAATGTCAAATACAAAAAAGTCAAAGGTTGCTGAAATCTTAATATTTTCGGGAGAAAACAAAAATGCTGACGCATTTCGTAGCATAATGGGGTCACTGTACTCAATGACCCCTATTTTAGCCTCTATGGGTTCAAACTCTTAAATATTCTCAACTGCCAAAGTATAATTTGACACTGAATTAGTTATTGTAAACCTTGAAGTAATCCATTCTGGCCATAGGGGTATTTGTCATTTTGAAATTGATTTTCGTAAAATTAATAAATGAATTAATAAATGACACCTTGGAGATGAAAGAGTTATTTTCTATAGTATTCACTAAAAATCCGAATGGTGGTCCGATTCCTAAAGCTGGCCCTTTCAACTTTCCAACGGTGTATTGGAATCTTAGTGCAGAGGTGGTGATTTATACCACACTACTTTGCTCTACTATAAAGTCTATTCGTTCACAATAGATCTTATATCTTTTCTATTTCTGTGTTTATGCTAATTTTTACAGAGAATCATGCATCGCATACCGTAATCTGAATTGTCACTCAGTATTGCCACCGTGTCCCATCTGAACCACTTGACCAAGTCCACAAGGGCCTGGCTCTGCAATGAGTCCGGTGCAGATAGCCTCACAAGGTACTCGTACTCCATAACGTTCACCAGCGTGGGATCAGTAGCAGATGGGGCGATCATTGGCGTCTGGAAGCCTCCGCACATAGGATGGGATGCCTTCACTGATGTTGATGATAATGGCCCTATTATCGCAGTGATTCCCTGCTTTAGTTGGTCACACACTATAAACGTGAATTTGAATGAATGTATTGATTCAGTTTGTGACTGAATTAAGCACTGGAAATTACAAAAGTTATTTATACCTTCAATATGTAGCGTACGCTGCTTTGAAACTGGAGATAGCTCCATCAAATGTTTCAAGGCCACACATTTCCGCAACAATTTTTAAGTGAAGTTGGGACCCAAGAAATCAGGATCAAAATAATCCAAATGCCCCTTGCAATTACCTGCCATAATCGTATTGAACTTTCCCAACAGATTTGTAAAATTTGCTACATATTCAATGTTGTAGTTTGGTAAAAGATTGGGATCAGCGTTCACCGTGTCAATGGCGAATTTCATAGTTCCTTCCAGTTGATCCTCTTCCTCTGGAAAGATCCCACCTGCAGATAAATCAGAAATATTACTCATTCGGAGAGATTTTGCAACTCATTTATAACATATTTGTTTTTCATTGTCGTATAATGTTTTGCATGTAAGAAAGCAAATAGTTGGAAATATGTTGAGCACATCATGACCTAAAGGCATTGACAATAACTTAGATACTTTGATTGAACATTATGAATCATCTATTCAGAAGACCTGCGACCTGTTGATTGCAACAGGGGCTTTTGCCTTTAAAACGGGGTTAGATAAGGTACCCTTCTATACGCTATTTTTATATCCATTATTTTGCATGTTTGATAAAAGTAAAATAAGAGAATATGGAATTTGGAAAATATTGTCTCCTGACAGGCTGCAAACATCTGCAATAGTGAAAACTGAATTGGGCAATGTTTTGGTGAAACTACATTTTCAAGCTAATGCTTGAAAAAAGGTAATGCAAGGTGACATGTATAAAAGGTACATGGTGACAAAAACTTTATCCAAACTAATATCTATGATGGTTTATTAGGAATATGATGATAAACCAACACATGGACAACCAACTCCTTATATAGAGCTCTTAGAAAAATCAGCTCATTGACTCATAAAAATCTACAGCATTATCCAAAAATGATTTCTATTTTGCAAGTGCACGAATTCTTTCTCGGACTGGGAAACTAGGTCTTAAAGGTGAACCATATAAATGGGCAAATGTACAACTAAATAGCCCATTCTGTGATTCATGCTTTGATAGAGAATAGAGATTCACATATAGCTAGGCAAGGTGTGTCTGATTCCAGCCAATACAAACACAGTATTTCACATATAGAACAGTGTGTGAAATAATCAATAACACACTCAAGGTCACTAGTTAAACAGTTGTCATTTTCATTTTAATTACATATCTTACACAGACACCATAGGGCATATACGTGTGGTAGGATAATGTTACTTGATCTCTAAGGTAGAAACAGCTCCCCGTATTAACCTGACAGAAACTGGTATCTTTCTTCTGGCTAGAACCACAGACAGTTCAAGCCAGGACAGTTCAAGCCAGCACAGGCCTTTTATCGAGTTAGTATTACTCTAGTAATCAACTTCTCTGGTGTACTAGTTAGCATAAGCTGGCTCCTGTCGCCGCAAGCTGGGATTGAACCCAGGATCTTGGCATCAGGAGTCCAGAGTGATAACCTTTACACCACAGAACCGAAGACACAATTTCACAAATGGATTTGATGACTTGACCCTTGCAAAAAAGTCCATTGAAAATATGTTCTTTTAGTGATTTCGTTGAAAATATTTTGCAATGTGTGAAAATAATTTAAGCCCAAGACTCAATGCATTGTGGCTGCTTCATTCCACTCAGATGTTGTTTGCGGTCATGCAAAGATTTGGAAACAACAACTTCATGGAATGGTTCAGCACACAATGCACTGAGACCAAGGCTTATATCCTTAAACATCGGTTACTATTTTGTTATAACTTTGCAGGAGAAAGATCCAAAGGATTTGTATCGATATGGCGAACTGAATTCAACATTGTTTTTCTCTTAAACCAATTATTGAAAATATTCAGTAAAAAACACGTCCTTTATGTAATGGTCACTGATTGACAAAAATTTAATGCGAAAATAACTGTCTTTGTTAATATTTTTTGATTTTTAGTGCAATTGTTTTTTGTTCCTTTTGACTTGAGAATGAAATAAAATATCTTTCCGAACCTTGTTGGAACAAAATAGCATATACCATTTTCTTAGACCTCTCAATATTATAGTCACATAAAGGAATATTTGGTTGATCTAACAAATTTATTCAAATTATTTAAACAAAAAAAACAAAATAGGTAAAAATTAAAGTAAACTTTTTGTTTCATCAACAAGATACTTTTTTTAAATCAACCAAATTTTCCTTTGTGCAATTACAATATTGAGAAGCCTAAACACGCTGTGTCGTATATGTCGTTTTGTTCCAATGAGGTTCGGAAAGATGTTGTTTCGTTTTATTCTGAACATATAATGCTTAATATAGGCTTAATGCAGGTGTCGATATCGCAGGAGACAATGTAAGCATATTACTGTATGCTGATGATGTTGCATTGATCGCACCAACTGAATTAAAGCTGCAACAAATGCTGAACTGTCTTCATGATTGGATATATAAGTGGCGACTGACTGTAAATGTTGAAAAAACGAAAGTAGTGCACTTTAGGAGAGCGTCGACAATGTTAACAGAAACAATATTTGTGCTAGAGGATGCAAAAATAGGAAAAATAAACTCTTATCGCTATCTTGGAGTTGTTATGAATGAGACTCTCGACTACACTGAAATGGTTTCCACTCTAGCTGATGCAAGTTCTCGATCCCTTGGCGCTCTTATTGGAAAATATTATTCGATTAATGGACTTCATTATTCGACATTCACAAAGATGTATAATGCAACCGTTATCCCCATCATGGATTACGGGGCTGGAGTTTGGGGCTATAAAGACTACGACAAACCAAATACTGTCCAAAACCGTGCCATGAGAACATTTATGGGCTTAGGGAAATATGCTCCCATTCCAGCTATGTATGGAGATATAGGCTGGATACCACCATGTGTTAGGCACCATGTTGAAATGGTTCGTTTATTCATCCGACTTAGTAGAATGCCAAGAACAAGGATTACTCGAAGAATATTTGACTTTGACTATGCCAATGCTGAAAAAGGCCATAGAGGATGGTGTAAAGAGGTCAAAGATATATTTAAAAATTCTAACCTGTTAGACCTCTATAATGAACGTTTCTTTAATAATTCAAGTGCAAGGTCAACATTAAAAACTGTAAAAGATTCTGAAATGAATCGCTTTATACATAAATGGACAGCTCAAATAACTACAATGCCAAAGTTACGTACATATAAGTTAATTAAAGACAATTTTGGTACAGAGGATTATATAAAATTATTTTTATCAAGGAATCAAAGATCTGTTATTGCTAGAACTCGGTCAGGTACTCTTCACCTGAACATAGAAACTGGTCGATATAAAGGCCTTGCTGTTGAACAAAGACTCTGTGAGGCATGTAAATGTGGACATATAGAAACTGAGAAACATTTTCTTCTAGAATGCTCTTGTTACAAAGATTTGAGAAAAACTATAATCAGACCCACTATGGTTCATGATAATCAAGATTTACTGAAACATCTTCTTTCAAATAAAAATTGTGTAAAACTTACAGCAAAATTTATAATGTCAGCACTTGAAAAACGACAAAAAATTGTATAAATAACACACTGTAATTACATGTATATGTATTTGTATAGTGCCTCATAAGCCTGATAAGGCTGGGTGCCGATTAAGGTGCGTGGCACTTAATAAATAAATAAATAAAAAATTATAAAAATAAATATAATACCAGGATCAAAAGAAGTGTCTGATGTGTTTTCTAAAACAATATAGAGAAACACTGTGAGAAAGGTATATATTTTTTCAAATTCAAATGTTAACATTCAGAAGATGATCATTAGATTGACGGATGTGTAAAATTTTCAGAATTTTTTGATGACTGGTTTAAGAGAAACATGTGTTCAATTCAGTTCGCCCATCCTTTTATAGAATACTCGAGGATAAATTAAATAAATAAATATGAAGGGTTTGATTACGTCATCATTTATTGCGCAGCTCTATAAGTCCATAAGTGTGATATTCTTAAGTATTCTTACCCTGTGCGCAGAGTCACTAGTTAAAAACTACCGAAGACGAAGCTCTCTTTTAAGAAGCGAAGTCGAACGAATGCAAAGGGTATACGTATAGTAGTAGTAATAGTATATGGTCATTATTTGGCCTTTTTTGGCCTTTTTAGGCCAAATCATCAAAAAATCGGCGCGGAATTTTTGGGCATCTGAAATGTGCCCCCCCCCCCTGTTATCTTCTGGATCCGCCAGTACTCAAGGCTTTCTAAAGACTGAATATACAGTGCGTATAAAAAACGCAACAGATTGTTATCTCGGAAAAGAACAAAACCAGTGATAACAGCATTGATTTCATTCAATGCAACATAAAGCCATGTGTCTCCTCTTTACAATGATATTTCATTCATTGATATTTGGTCATGGTTGTGTGAGTAATCATTCCATTTGCAAAGTGGGCCAAAATTAGCTTTGGGCCAAGTTATAAACATCGCAAAACTCAGTGTACGGAGCCCGATGCAATATTGGAAGAAAACATAAAACCAATGCTGACTGCATCCTTTTCATTCAATGTGCCAAAAAGCCAAATTACTCCTCTTTGCAATGGAATATCATTCATTCACAGGAAGTCATGGCTGGCCGAATAATCATTAATTTTGCAAAGTGGGGCAAAATTCAGCTCGGACTCAAGTTTCAAACATCGAAAGTCAGTACAAGGGGCATAGGGGCTATTGGAAGAAGGTGTGACAGGTGTGGCATAGACAGTTAAGTGTTCATACTCATACTCTTGCAAGAATGCACCACCTCCTTGCACATAAAGATGCGCTCATCTGTCCACGTCATGCATGGTTCAGCACCGAGTCATCTGTGGGTAAAAGCAGAGAAAAGCAGCCCATGGGCAATTCTTTCTCGAGGTTTTGCAATATCTGGTGAAGGAATTGTAAGCACAGATGCTCCTGAGATAGCTCCAAAAGAAAAAGTCACAACAATTCAAGTCAGGGGAACTTCCATTGGCACTTAGCCCTCGCACTGATTTTTGCAATATCTAAAACCGATTTTGACCCACTGTGCAAATGGAAGGATTTCTCACCCAACCATTACCACATGTGAATGAATGACATATCATTGCAAAGAGGAGAGACGTGGCTTTATGGTACATTGAATGAAATTGATGTGGTCATCACTAGTTTTGTGATTTTACGAGATAACTAATTGTTGCGTTTTTTTTGATACGCCCTGTATTTTCAAAATTACAGCCGGTACATGGTCAAGATTAGTAAAATTCCAAAGATGATTTTTCAACCTTCTCACGAGATGATGCATTTGGAAAATAGAAATTGAGATGAATCAGTCCATGGGCTTTTAATATTGAAAGCCCATAATCAGTCATAGCAAGCAATATATTCTGCTGAAGCTATCCATTAGACACCGAAACATCCTGACAACAGTAAAGATGGCAAAGTCGGTTATCGTTGTCACAAATAATGGCGGTCACGGGATCGTATTCGATTGATTTTCATGAACTATTAGACAGGTTCCAATTTCAGAATATCTCAAGGGAAGGGGTTTTTGAGGCATTTTTTAGAAAAAGCAACAGACCTATTCTTTCTAGACCAGTTTGTCATGCTGATAAAGATATTAAAAGATGACAGCTCAATGGGATGGCCATGACACTGATTTCTAGCTTTTTTACCCCCCTAGGAAAATATTTTAATGGTACTATAATATTAGTTTATAATTTAAATGTTATTAAGAACTATTGTTCTGAGTTCTACAGCATACATTGTTAGTACAGAGATGAATACTTTCCTAAAGTTATAAGGTTGATATCTTTGTTGGTTTCGGAAAAATACAATTAATTAGAAAGAAATATGCAATTTTTGTCAACTTGATACGTATTTTGAATATATGCGATACCACGCATCTTTCGTTATACGGTACATGTATTTATGTGGGGTTTAGTCACGTGACAAAACCGAATGGTTTTATGACAAAACCAAATGACGTTTTGTAACTTTTGGTCATGCGTTAAACACATATACGTGTACATAAATCGAATGTACAGGGTGGTCAAAAAATGGAAACCCTGCATTTTCCTTATATCTTTGTCACTTTGAGGATTTACTCCCTGATATTTCACACATTTGTACATCATTCAATGTCCTACCACCCTACCATATTTCATGACCATCAGACTGATAGTCACAATTTTACAGCACTTTGAATAACATGTTCAGATTTGACCATTATCGCGCTGTAGGCAAAACAGCACAGTTGTCAATGAGCCGAATGCATTCCTCAGCAGGTATGGCCTGAATGAAACAGATGATCTCACTTTTGAGGTTCGCAATTATCCTGAGGTCATTCTCATATACTCTATCTCTGCCATATCCCCACAGGTAGGGACATTTTAGAGTACAGGTTTACCCACAACGCAATAGTGGCCACTGGGCATGTTCTTTAAAGTACTGTAACATTGTGACTATCAATCTGATGGTCATGAAATAAAGTAGGCTGGTAGCAAATTGAATGATGTACAAAAGTGTAAAATATCAGGGAGTTATTTTTTAAAATAAGAAAGATATGAGGAAAATGGTAATAGGGTTTCCTTTTTTTGACCACCCTGTATTTGTGTAAAAACGAATAGATGTAAATGTGTTTTGAAACGTTTTTAATAGAATGGAATGTCGAATGTCTATAATTGAATATCAAAGTGTAAAAATCGAATAAAGATGCAGAAAAAATTCCATAACATCCTATCATATGCCGTTGTTAATTATTTCAAATTCAGATTCCGTTGCCAATTGACGATATGGAAAACGGTGTATTGAAGCGATTCACGACCACATTTGATCGAAATTGGGATTTCATATATAATACACCATCACAAGAGCTAATACATGCAGAGAATTAGCGACGATAAAGTTCTATGAATTGAGAACCAAGTAATTAGAGAGTTAAAGCGACGGTTACGTCCGACATCTGTGACAACGGTATCTGACTTAACCGTTTTCAGGGTATTCCGGAGTGCATTAGGGATGAAATTAATATTAGGTTTCCAATTTATTAATCACTCTAAAACATCCATCTCAACGAGAAAAGCAATTAGTATATAGCAAGAGTCAGATTGTATCATTAATATTTTTACTCAGGTGGTTTAATGAATATAGTCTAGGCCTACTCAAATCGCTCTCATACATGGGAATGCAATTACCAGAGCGTCCTCGAGGGACCCACTAGATTGAAATACTTGATAGTGCAGTCTGACGCAACAGATATCGTGGCTGCTGCTATCGGATATGAGAGGCCTTTCCCTCATAAACTGGCCCCGATTGCCCGGATGCCTCTGGCGAAACTGAAGAGTTGACAACTTGGATATCTTTTCAATTCGATAATATTTCAGTTGGTAGCAGGCTATAATATTCGAAAGGTTTCTTGTTTTGGCTCTTATTTTAACATTTGACTTCATTATTCATCAAATTTTAATTTCATTGGTTGGATGATGAAATGAGAACTAAGCTGATAACTACATTCAGGGTAATAGTAGGGAAATAGAAATTGACACCCAAGATTCCTGCCCGTGTAAAGAAATCCGAAAGGTTAAGACAAGTGTTCTGAACACTTTTCATGACATTCAAATGTAAACCTTGCTCCGTGTGTTTGTTGATGTGAAAGAACACTGACACCATATGAGGAATACATGTATGCCTAATGGTTAGGTTCTCAGAATCACTGATCTATATGAGGAATACATGTAGCCTAATGGTGAGGTTCTCAGAATCACTGATCTATATGAGGAATACATGTAGCCTAATGGTGAGGTTCTCAGAATCACTGGATCTATATGAGGAATACATGTAGCCTAATGATGAGGTTCTCAGAATCACTGGATCTATATGAGGAATACATGTCTTGCCCGTAGCCAGCTTTTACCAGGAGGGGGAGCTTTTTTCCAGGGGGGAGCTTTTTCACAATTTTGGCCAAAAATCATGCAAAAAATTCTCAGAATGGTGAAAAACTGCATGATTTTGAAAGAATTTCTGGCCAGGGGGGAGAGCTTCCGCTCCCCCACTGGCTACGGCCCTGCATGTAGCCTAATGGTGAAGTTTCAAAAATAACTGGATTTATATGGATGCACAATGTACTCGTTAATTCGGATAGATGAAATCCAGTCTCAAAGTTCATAGGCGCTAGGCAATTTAAAGGGTTCACATTTATTCGCAGAGCCGTCGGCATAATCCATTAAATGCAATAGTTCACAATGTTCACCAGTGGCTAAAACTATGAAGTAATCAAACATGATATAGATGAAATTCACACATAGCTAGGCAAGGTGTGTATAACTGCACGACATTATATAATCAACAATCCACCCAAGGTCATTTGTTGAATGGTTGTCAAGGTGACAACTTGACTACAGATTGAAATTAATGCTTTGTCAATTTGACACTTGCTAAAAGTTTCATTGAAAATATGTTCCTTTAGTGATTTCGTATCTTTTAGGTGATTTTGCAATGTGTGAAAAGAATTTAAGCCCAAGACTTGATGCATTGTAGCCGATTCCTTCCATTCAGGCGTTATCAACATTCAAATAAGCCCAAAACATCGTCGTTTTCCGGAGATATAGACTCAGAGGGAAGAATAACTGAAAACTTGTGGCTCGAGATGTTCGAAGAATGTCAATCTTTACTGATTAAACAGTCATAAATCAAAGTTTCTTATCCATAATTTATCACAATAATTTTGGTTTCATCGATGAACACATTGGTCAGTTGTGGTCGCTTGTCTAGGCCTGCTAGTTTACTCTTCTGATGTTCATATAGTATTATTTATCTATTGTGGATGACAAACTCACCTATTCTCAACGTTTCCTTGGCAACAACCATGTTTAATCCATAAATCCAGTAGATAACGAGAAGCAGATACAGCATCGTCACGGCCATTGTGTTACCTGGTGATCATAGAGACGGCGTTAACCCTTTTTAGCAAATATGGATTGAACCCAAAGCGATAATATTCTTTAGTACATTTAGTTAATTCCAACTTGTACAATTCTTGTTGGATGGTTTATTGCTTTACTGCTATACTGCTAGTCCTGTTACAGTATATACCTGCATAAAACAGATCGAAAATTCAATATTTGCTGAGGTATTCAGACATAGGAAATCTTTGAATGATGTAGCAAGCACGAACATCGATCAGTCATTATAATAATGTGTGGCATTCAGGTGCGCCAGAAATCCGATTAGCGACTAACAGTCAGTAAAAGTATTGGGCATTGCACTGTATTGTACTCTATCAAAAGCTAAACATAAAACACATTACCAAAATAAGCATAAATTAATCTCTTTTGGAACGAAAACTTCGTGTTTGCTGAATTTCGACTCGTACTCATCCGTTCTCTGAAATGTATGTCTCATCTGCATCCTTGTAAATGTCATACTAAATTAAGTTTAGTTAAAAATAAAACTGGCAATTTGTCATGATAATTTCATTAATAGCATGCTATTCGTGTTTTGTGTAGTTTATAAATACATGCAAATTGAAAGTTATTCACGCAGCGAACTCGATAGGAGAAGTAATTTTATGATATTTTCTCAACTGATAAATTTTAAGGTGTGAGATCTATGAAGAAGGCGCAAAGCCACAAAAGTGCACAAGTCAACGTTTTTGCTAAATCAACCGGGGTCTACATGACCTGTAATAAATAGTTGTAAGTGACGTTATCATCATTGCAGCTTTAAAAATAAGTTTACATATCGTCCCATTATTTCCAAATTGTTATAACCATGGGCTTTCATCTAATTGAAAGCCCATGTTATAACTCATGTTTTGCAGGTTTTGAGTTAAAAGTATACTATCTTTTTCAATTTTTCACGCGAATTCATTTCTGAGGTCCATTTCAATGGATCTCATCTCCTTTTCTAGATATCCATAGCGTCACATTGTTATATAATAAGGGCAAAATGAGGAAAAATGCTAGGCCAACCTTGCCATATCCGTTTGGGTAGGCAGAATGCGAGCCAATCAGATTACATGAATTTGATCATGTGACTTACCATTTTGGTTGGCTTTATGTATTTTAAAATATTTTCCGTAAATCAGTAAATATAGAGCTGTAGAGCACAAAAATGTTATTCTATGTAATATTTTGGTATGTACCTATAGAAACGTATGGCATCTATAATTGGAATCAAAAGAAATGCTGCAACTTCTGGCTCAGATATGCTTATTTATGACGCGCGGCCAGTCGCGAGTTTACTGGTCGAGATGCACTAAAATGTTGTTTTTCTCAGCCAATACTCAACCAATGTCCAAAGTTTTTAATTATATTTTAAATTATTATAGCCAGGGATATTTTCTAGGAAGTTCATTTTGCAAAACTATTATTTGGTTAGTATTCCAGGTCCTAGACTGTGTTTTATTTCCCCTCCCCCATTTTCGATATTTTATTTTTTCAAATTTTCTACCAAATTACCTATCTCAAGATCTAGGAAAGGTATTTACCCACGGTTTTTTGTTCTAAAACGTTAGTTCCTATACATATCTATCACATTTATCACTCTTTTCTGGCTAAAAAATATTAAATGTCGTTTTTTCTAGAAATAGTAAAAAATAAAAACATACACCAAAAAATCGTCCCCTATGATACTTTGACCTACTTTTGACCCCATTTGACCTACTTTCTTTGAGATTTTATTACACCTTTCACGAGAATTTTTAATGACCTATAATATGCTACCTTAGTCTTTGCATTATCTCTTCAACTTTGGAAATGCCAGAGGGAAGGGGGGGGGGGTCATCTGTCCATTAGTTTAAAAAAAATGAAATATACATTGCACACATTAGGGACAATGGCATATGAGGGATAATGGTTTATGAGACAATAACAAAATGAAAGTGAATAAAAATTCAGTTTTCGGGGTTATTTTGGTATTTGAAAAACAAGAAACAATAAAAAGGTGTGTTTTATTTAAGGAGTAAAGACCGAGATTTTATGATTTATGGCGTAATATATGACCGAAAATTTTATTCTGTTCATTGTTAAAAGACCGAAATCGCGTAGCGATTGAGGTCTTTGGCAATGGCCAGAATAAATTTTGAGGTCATATATTTGACATAAATCATAAAATCGAGGTCTTTGTTACGATTCTAATATGATAAACTGACAAGAAACACGAAACATGACTTTACAAACAAGATTTTAGGACGGAAAATCCAAAATGGCTGCCTTGACATTTACCCAGAATGCCCAAAACCTAATCAGATCTAGATTTTTATACTAAGAATCATCCCTGAAAATTTGAAATTGATCTACCAAATGGTTCACCTAAAAACGCGTAGACAAGACTTTACAGGCAAGATTTTAAGACAGAAAAATTAGAAAATCCAAAATGGCTGCCTTGACATTTATTCAGAATGCCAAAAAACTAAATAGATCTAGATTTTCATACTAAGAATCATCCCTGAAATGCGTAGACAAGACCGTTTACAGATAAGATTTTAGGACAGAAAATCCAAAATGGCTGCCTTGACATTTACCCAGCATGCCCAAAAACTAATCAGATCTAGATTTTCATACTAAGAATCATCCCTGAAAATTTGAAATCGATCTACCATACGGTTAACCTAAAAATGCGTAGACAAGACTTTACGGGCAAGATTTTAAGATGGAAAATCCAAAATGGCTGCCTTGACATTTATCCAGAATGCCAAAATCTAATCAGATCTAGATTTTCATACTGAGAATCATCCCTGAAAATTTTTAATTGATCTACCACACAGATCACCTGGAAATGCGTAGACAAGACTTTACAGACAAGATTTTAGGACGGAAAAACCCAAAATGGCCGACAATAAAAAAGTGATTATGAGATTTTGCTGATTTCTTTTTACAAAATTATCACATATAACTACTGTTAACAATAACATAGGCTTTTACAACAAAGTACACCTGAAATTATTTATAAAGCTACTAAATAGTTAAAGTATGAAAACTGAAAAACACCATTCAATATGATACAAAGTATTATCGCGCGCTAACTTTTCTTAAAACATTCAAAATGGCTGACATGACTGAGTTAACAGGTCCAAAACATAATCAGATGTAGAATGAAGTGAGCTGAACAAGATGTTAAAGTTTCAAAAGCAACTGTGAAGCCATTTTCTTAAAGTTTGCAGACAAGGATTTTAGCATTTGACTTCAAAATGGCCGACAGGAAGTAGGTATCGAGTTAAATTTTTTTCATCCACATCTAGATGCACTCATAAGTTATCCCTGAAAATTTGAAGGTGATATCTGTAGCGGTTTTGGAGAAAACTGCCGGACGTACGGACGGACATCTTGTAATATATAGATACACTGTCCCACATGTTTTGTTAAAGAGCAACTGAAGCATACAATCTTTCCACAAAGACAGACGGACAGACGCGCCTAGGCCAACAATATGGCCCCACACTATGTGGTGGGGACATAAAAATGGACCGAGGGAGGGGGGTTGATAAAAGATGTTGCTTTACTTTATTTCCTATAACTCCAAATTTCCCCATTTTTAAGGAACATCCAGTTTCTTACTGAGTTCATTTTTCAAATAAACGAATTCGTCTAAACCCGTCCGTCCGGGTGATAACTCAAATACCGTTGGCTCAATTTTGTAGAAGTTCTGCTAGAAAGCCAATTTTCAAAAAGGACGCTCGTTTATAAATGACGGCAATTTTATTACCGATTTTACAGTAATTTTGGTAGAATATATGAAACTCTTATAGCAATATGTTGTATATGTAATTAATAAAGCTAGAAATATAGATACTTAAGAAACTCATGGTAGCTATCTTGAAATTACACATTATTTTGAGCGTTATATCGGGTGGGCATAAAAATTGGCCGTACGATGCTACATTTCTCCATTAAACTACAAATACTATGATATGATAGTATGATATTTACACAGGGTTAAAATAAATATATGGCCTCAAAAGTTCAGGTGACCAACACTTGATTAACGAATTGTCTTGGTCTAGTGTCAAATAAATTCTTCCAGATAGGCACAGATTTGCTGAATCAAGATGTTTTGCTATGTGGAGGACAAGGAATTCGCATCATGTTTTTATGAAAACGGTTGGATTTTGGAGAGGCAAAATGTGCAAAAAATTCACGGGGGAAAAATGGATAAAAGTTCTATAAACAATGTGATCAGAAAGTTCTGAAGAAAGGACCAGAAACAACTTAGGACTAAAATTGTGAGAGAATACGGTCGTTGAGAAGGGACGAAACGGTTTGACAGAATAGAAAATTGTGATGATGAGTTTTCAATGGAGAATGTGAAGTAAATTAGGTTCACGGATGAAATAGACTTCATTTGAGACTGCACGCAATAGACAGATGATCGCGATAATAACAAAGGAAAGCAGGACATTATTGTTAAAAGCCTACTGGAAAAATTTACTTTTAAGGAGATTCAAAATGAGATGTGCAAAATTTTCGAGGCCTGCTAATTATGAACTGGCGCCACTTTTCAACAACACTTCGTTAGATATCAAAAGTAAATGTATTAGTGATACTTCATGTTCTTAAGTCAAAAATGGTGCTATATACAGAGTGGGCCAAAAAACGCCACTTTTTTTCAAGACACTATAACGTTTTCATTTTACAACCTACATACACCAAATTTTGCAGTTATAGAGCCAGGGGTCCTGAGTAATAAAATAATGTAACAAGTCCTTCAACTTGGATTGTAAAAGAGGAGTTCAATTGGTCCGCCACCCTCTTTGGTTATTGCCTTAAGTCTTAGTTGCCATGCTAATATAGCAGTATCAATGAAATGTTGACTAAGTTTCTTTCAACCTGTCTTAATTGACAGCTTTGGTTGAGCAATTTTTGAGTTTGAGTGCCTTTATACCATCATTTGGAGTCCTTCTCGTATCCTATACTCACTGGGGTTTGCATCAGGACTACTAGCTCTGTGGTTATTAGGTTGTATCAGTTCAGGTACATTATGGAAATTCTGTTCATTTCTCATGGCACACAACATGTTTAGGTGAGACGGTGGTGACATATTTTATTCAAGTAAAAGTGTAAAATTCATAATCCATGGCTAGATTGCATCTTCAAGTTTAATTTGGTATGCAAATTACGATTTTGGATCAAAAATTAAAGTAATAGCATTTTGAAAAAGTGGTTTTTTAGCCCACCCTGTGTAAAGCGTGTGCAATTGAACACTTAACTGACTTCACTATATGTGTGCAGTATGCAGTGTCTGTCCCCTGACTGAAATTCTCCCATCTGTAGTAACACCTATTTTTCTCTATCCACAGAACACAAAGTTATTTTGATTCATTTATTTTCATTCCTTCTATGTAAAACCAACTAAAATGTCAGTTCTCCACTACATTAAATCATGTGAGTGGTTTCCTATATTTACACTGGACCCAGACTCTGTACATCTTTATCTGTCGACCCCGGTTCACCTGAAGTCGCCTGTCAATCAAATTTTGTTCCTCTACTAATCCTGCCTTTGTGAACAAATCCCTCAGTTCTTCTGAAATAAATTTAATGTCAGTTTAGATAATTGAATATTTCAGACATTAAAATAGAATCCCATATAAGGGCAATAATACATACATAAGGTAAAAGGATTTTTACACCATCAAAGCCTTTATCAAGTCATTAAACAGCATGCCATGTTTCAAGATTAGATAGCTCATTTCCTTTTTCAGTTATAGCAAAATATGTAAGATAACACACATAAAAATGGAAGCTTACTAGCCAAACTGTCATATGAAAGAAGTTGCTGTTTTCTTGTGATATCTAGGATGACTGTTGATGAGGGGACGGCTTACTCACTTCGAGAGCCATGTTAGATTTTGAACAACCTCTATCCTGAGACATCTTTTGGGAAAGTTTCTCACTTGATTGAATTTTGCTTTTAGTATTTACCTTGAGTGAAGAAATAGACCCTTGTGCCATCTCCTCGAACATAGAAATTATCAGATAGACATTTACCTGTAAATAAATTTTGATTTTATGCAGGGAATAGAAACGCTTCCAGTATTTTCGTCCGGTACAACCATTTTTGATCGAGAGAGAGGTAGGTGTACTTTTAATTGGTAGCCTGTGATCCTTTTACAGTGTTTCATTACTTAGCAACAGGCCCTTTTCGTTGTACAAGTTATATAATAACTTAAGTTATCACTGTTTGGCATTGGGCAGGGTTTACAACGACAAATGTTCAGGATATTGTATACTATTCTAGTACTATTACAGTACTTAAATGTACAGGGATTCCTCAAGGTTTTTTTAATATTCGTGTATGGCATTGTAACAACATTTTAAAAAATACAAATTTAACAGAACTGCATGTAAATAAGTGTATCTAGTGGAAACCCAAGGTAAAATTATGTTCTGCATACTGTAGCTATATAATATAGATTTTCTTGCGTCCAGTACATTTTCATTGCGTCCAGCATTTTTTCGAATTTCTGAAATTTCGTCATTACTCTACTATCAATCACTCCAAAGTTAAATTTGCTGACTGGATGGTGTATTTTTGTTCCAGACACAAGAAAATGGCATATATTGTCAATGAAAGGGTAAAGATGGCTGTCATTTTATAAGAACTGGATGTTCCAAAATATACTGGGAATCTGATGAGCCTGTTGCTAAGTAATGAAACACTGTAAAACGATCACAGACTACCAATTAAAAGTACACCTACCTCTCTCTCGATCAAAAATGGAGGTCTGCGTCAAGTATTTCTGGTTGTAACGGACAAAATTACTAGACGCCTTTCCATCCTGTTATGAGGACAACCAAAATAATACAAGATGGAACAACTTCTACATCTTCTAATCTTGCTATAGATGTTACTTCTGAAGCTTGAACCATGAATTTGAAGGATCTTTAGCAATATGTCCCTTCTCAAATCAAGCAATGAATAATTCTAACTTTTAATTCTTTTATTAATAAAAGAAAACATTTATTAAACTGATTTTAATATGCAGTCAGTGAGGATTAGTGAAGATTAAAAAAGATTTACCATTTTTGAAGCGAAGTTGAGCCATGTCATATCTGCCGTAATCCCTGAACATGATTTTTCCCCCAGGCTTCAGGTGTCTTGCTAGTCTATTCATAGCTTCTTGCATCCTTCAGGACATCAACAGCAAAAGAAGATTAAAACAAGACACATAGTGATAAATATTGCACTTTGAAGAGCAAAATGGTCAACATGTATTTTTCCCAATATGCTCAAAACCTAACTTGATAACAGCAATGCCAAAGCGTAGCTAATCCTATCAAACAGTCATTATTGCCATTTTTACAAAATCCTTCTTCTACTTTTAGCAAAATGGTCGCTTACTAGCCAAATTGTCATAATAAAATGTAACAACTGTAACATACTTCTAAGTCGGTAAGTAAATTAACTTTTTTGACCTTTCAAAGGTCACTGAAGGTCAAATCTCAAATTCAAGGTCAGATTTGAACTCCTGAGAACTTTTAGATAACTTTTTTAAATTGTGTCAGTTTGAAGCAGGTTGAAAAATTCAAAAGGGCAACCATGTAATTAAGCCAGAATACCTAAAACCTAATCAGATATTGGTCTGCTCTTACATCTGTACAAATTTTAAGTTGAACAGATAGGTGGCTTTCCTAGGATTTTGATGATGGAAAAAATTCAAAATGGCAGCCAAGTAATTAACAGAGCATGCCCTAAAACTAATAAGAGCTGCTCTTGCACCTGTAAATATTTCAAGTTGGACAGGTTCACAGTTTTCCTGAAATATTGATGACAAGAATTGATCTGTGGTCTCAAACTTTGAGAAATTAGAAAACATTATTTGTGACCTAGTATGATGACCTTGAACTTCTACCTCAAAAAGTTCACTTTTTCAGATCTCAGTAGGTCTTTTGACATACCCAGATGTGATAAGGTAGTTGAAAGCTCCACCACCAGGTGGCTTATTCAAGGAGGCGGTGTTCCTCGAATTTTGATGACAAGATGTGATTTATGTTTTTCAATTTTTCTGTACTTGAAGGAGCTAGGTCGTGTCAGAAACAATTTTTCAATATCATGACAAACCATGTCACAATTAATAGGTTTTATATATCTATTCTGATAACATATGTATACATATTTCAGTCACCTATCCTATTGTTTGATTTTATCATGGGCTTTCAAATTATTAATCCATGTCATTTTATGGGTGGGAACACACATTTTTTCTTACTCACGAGACTACTAGAATTCTACGCGACAATCTGCAAAATTCTACAAAAAATGGAAATTCTGCAAACCAAAATGTGAAATTCTGTAAAAATTCTGCATTTTATCAAAATAAATCTGCCATATTTGTTTCAATGTTTTTTCAACATTGAAATAAAGTTTTTAGTTTACTAGACTAAGTCTGTTGGCCAGGAGCAATAGAAAATGAGTATCTAGTCTTCACATATTTTGTAATTTACATTAGATGTTCCTCACAAAGTAAACTCAAAAAAATAAAATAAAACGTTTTCTGTTTAAATTGCTAAAAAGGTGAGCTACAAATGATACTTTCTCAAAGCATGAATTCAGCGAAAACCAACAGAAATTCAATGTTCTGCAAATTTTTGCAAAACTAAAAATTTTGCATTTTTTCTGCTGCGGTGCAGAGAAAAGGAATTCTATTAGCCCTGCTTGATCAGTGCAATGTGCAGAGTGCAGACCAAGAAATACATGATTGCAGGTGAATGCTAAAGAGATGTTATATGTGGCTTACTTATGTGGGTGAGTAGCTGACAGCACAAAGATCATGACAATTACATCCAGACTATTCTCAGGGAATGGTAGAGGGGCTGACATGTCTGTGATGTCACAATAGAAAGCATGACACCTCTCTGGATCGTAATCTGCATGCTCCTAAAATAAATACATTTTATGTTTGCATGTTTTCTTTGTAACACTGTGATATACAATTTACAATCTTATAATAGCACAAACAGACTTCCCTACATGGGCTTCCCAACAGTTACAGTTACTAAGATATTTCTGTTAAAGTCACTTTCAAGCACTTATAGAGAAAAATAAGAGATTTCAAACCGTTAGTCTCAAGAAAATAGTCCCACCTTTCTATAAAGGTTAAGGTGCCAAAACACTGATCCATGAGTATACATCATTTTGAACATTAAAATCGAAATAGAAGATTTTTGAGCCTTGCATTTTAAACTTGCCATGACAGGAAACTGATTCTTAAAATGAAAACTGGCTGAAGCATAATTAATTCTTAATTTGGCTAAGAATACTTACTCATTTTAAATTCATTTTAGTACAGTGATTCAACATTTTTCTAAGATTATTTATATATTTAAAAAATTACTCCGGAATACCATAAGCTAATGCAGTAGAGGTTAGCGAGCTTGTCTTTTAATACTTTTACTCTGACAAAGCAGGTAAGAATCCCTCTGCAAAGTCATTTGTTTTAATTTTTTCCTCATTATTGAACCACAATACATTTCTTCATCTCTTTTTAATAAGATAAAATGATTCTGCTTTTGTATGATCATGTCGTGAAACTACATGACCAAACTTACCTTCACAATATCAATTGCAGTGTTGGAGAAATCACAACAATATACAAACACACCAGGATCACTGCAAGAAGGCAAAATGTTACCATCAAGTTAGTTAATGCAAATGGTTACACAAGGCATTAACATGACAAAATGTCACCACCTAGTTGCTCACAATATTATTAACTCAATCTTAAGTTAGATTTGAATTTCTGAAAACTTGTAATGATTTCAAAAACATATTGGTCAATTTGAAGCAAGTTGAAAGAATACCTTTTTTACCCTGAGAAGTTCATTGAAGGTAAAATCTCAAATCTAAAGTCAGATTTGAACTTGTAAGAACTTGTAGATGATTTTGAAAAAAAATTGGACAATTTGAAGCAAATTGAAAAAATACCTTTTTGACCTTGAGATGGTCAATGAAGGTCAAATATTTTTTTGACCTTGAGAATGTCATTGAAGGTCAAATCTATAGTCAGATTTGAACTTTTGAGAACTTCTAGATGATTTTGAAAAAAAAATTGGTCAATTTGAAGCAAGTTAAAAAATACCTTTTTGACCTTGAAAAGGTCACTGAAGGTCAAATCTTCAATATAAAGTCAGATTTGAACTTCTGAAAACTTGTAGATAATTTTGGAAAAAACTGAAGTCAGTCTTAACAGTACTTGTTAAGTTATTGGAAGTTTTAAGAATTTGTTACGGACACCAACCGCCGATCGCCAACAAACGTCAAAATGGAGACCACCAAAATATGTCACCACATTTTGGTGGTGGCATAAAAAGTGTAACACAAATAACAATACGAGTATTTACAGAACCAAATCTTGGACATCCTAAACAGTCACAGAAAAATGTTAAAGGTCATAACATGTCTGTGTTCACAATAAAAATTTCAGGTCCATGTGAACACTACTTAAATTATTGCAAATGGCTACAAAATGTTACAAGCCCACTTTTTTGTTGCCACGGTAACAGATATTGGCAGAAATATGTTGGAACTCATAACATGTTCAGTGTTCACATTTAACATTTGAAGGCAATCTAAACTTGTTAAGTAATTGGACTTTTATAGACAGCGAATACCGTCCACAAAAAAGTTGGAGACAATAACAATATGTCACCACTTCTGATGGTGATGTTAAAATTGGAAAACTTATTAACAATGTCAAATGAATAATTAATTACAAGGCCGTAGGGAGAGGGGGTTCGAAGGGTTCATGTGAACCCCCCAAAATCTTGCCTAAAAAATTCGAATCCACCTATTCCGGCAAATATGCGAACCCCCCAAATTAAATTTTGCAGTATTTCAGTAATTTATTGTTTTTTTGATTAAGATATTCGAGGTATTAAGCAAATACAGAAAAACAATCTATTTTGACTGGATGGGCGATTATAGGTTTGCACTTTGCATTTTAAGCCTGAAATACTGTTCTAACACATCAAAAGGAATTCAAGTATAAACTTTTTATTGGGATATAAGGTCAAAATTGTCCCTAATTTATGATATAAATTTTGAACATGTGAAAGTTCAGTGATGCAATGCACATGATGCACCAAAGTTCTGAATGCTAAAAACTCTAATTCTGGTCAGGAGTCACTTTCAAAATTGTTAGTCTTCATTAGAACTCACATTTTTGCTATTTTTGCCTCTTATTTATTTGAAGAGTACATTGTGCAAATAATGGAAAATAGACGATTGAATTACAAAACCTATGATTGAATTAAATTGGGCAGTTTTTGTCTGATAATGATTAAATTAAAAGGGGTTATAACAGGCCTTTCTTGAAAAAAGTTCTAGATTTTTGTCCATAAATGTTCCAAATGAACGAAATTGGTCAAAAATTGGGATATTTCACTTATGATTTTGTTTTGCAATTGTTTGGCAAATGGCAAGGCAAAGGTAAAACTTTAGATTCCAGCAAACTGGCAAAATAATAAAATGGACCACAATTAAGTAAATTTGGCATAATTTAAGCAAAGGAGTGGTATTGCTATGGTGAACTTTTTGAACATGCATTTCTCTTTAACCAGTCATCAAAACATTCTGAAAATTTTACACATCGTCAATTTAATGGTCATCTTTTGGATGGTAACATTATAATTTGAAATATACATATACATGTTTACTTTTCTCTACATTGTTTTAGAAAACACATCAGACACTTCTTTTGTTCCTGGTATCAAATGTTTGGATTGAGATGAAACATCTATCCAAATCTCATCGGAACAAAACGACATAAACACAATGTGTGATTGTACAAAGGAAAATATGGTTGATTTCAAAAAAGTATCTCCTTCATGAAATAAAAGGTTTTTCTTAATTTTTATCTATTTTGGGCATTTTGTTTTAAGTTTTTGCATACTATTTGTTAAATCAACCAAAATTTCCTTTGTATAACTATAATATTGAGAGGTCTAAGAAAATGTTGTGTATGCTATTTTGTTCCAACAAGGTTCGGAAAGACATTTTATTTCATTCTCAAGAATTTGTAGAAAGGCACAAAAAACAATTGGACTAAAAAATGTTAACAAAAACAGTTATATAAAATGTATATAAATAATTTTTGCATTAAATTGTTGCCAATCAGTCAACATTACATAAAGGACCATGTTTTTTACAGAATGTTTTCAATAATTGGTTTAAGAGAAAAACAAATTCAGTTCACCATATCGATACCTATCCTTTGGCAAAATTTAAGCAAATTAGGGAGAGATTTAGCAAAGGAAGAGGCTCGATAGAGAGAGCTTTTTAGATGGGTACAACTTTTTTATTATTTCGATGATCAATATAAAATTGTAACACAATTTAGGAGATGAGGTGAATTTTCATATTCTAAAATATTATTTCTGAATCATCAAAATGGATTTTTCTACAACCTTTTTGGCGAATCGATGAACTCGTTTTTCAGGTTTAACCCTTTCTTTGTGGTTAAATATAATGCCCTTTATATAATTATAGAAATAAAATATTTTGTTTCTAGGTCTCTAATTATCTAAAGTTTTACATAATGTGGACACATATTTGTTGAACTGATCAGAAATATTTCTTTTCCCCATTCATCAATTTTTCCATGTTAAAGTATAGGGGGGCTGAGATCCCCGGGAATTCCTGAGGTTTGACCCATTATGTTATGGTTTTGAACCGATGATAAGTTTATAGAGGGAAATGCTGTTCCATCGAATTATTTGATTTTGACTGAAATTAACGCATTACGTTATTCACACTGGGAGCTACAAAATATTGGGTTACGGATTTATTAAAACGTACCTTTATCTCGCATTCTCGGTTTACCTGCGTATCATGATTTATGATCATGATTTATCGTTTATGCTTTGCTCACATAAGTTCAGATTCACCTTATGGGTGCCTACCGATTACGGTATTTTTCAACTGCCAACCGATCACCGGCAGACGTTGCGCCGGGAGAATTTTCACAATCAAAATGTAAATTACATTATAAAATATGTATCTAATGAAGAAAAGGATGTCCAGATGGGTGCTGTTCGGCAATTGTAAGATTATAGTGTTGCTTGTAATATCATAAGTTGAAGAAAATTGGGTTCTTGGAATACATGTTCGTTAATGTTTTGATTTTGATTGTATATATTTATAATTCATATGTAATATACGATTGACTGTACTTTGAAGAGAAAACAAGTATTTTACCAATTAATAGAACAATTCAAAAGCTCTAGCGAAGTAACCTCTTTAGTTTATATTCGCCAAAACGTAAAACGATAGAAAATCATATATTTTTGAAACATCGCTTATTGGAACCATTTCACTTGTCGACTAACTTGCGGTAAGTTAGTTGTACATGAACTGGGCAGGTCGTAATATCCCTTATGACCGAAATAATCAGTTACGATCCGTAGTATAATTAACAAATCCAGTGCCACGGAATAAATAACTTGAAAGTGGTGATAAGCCATTTAGGACTACTTAGATTATTCATTTATTTTATTTTTCTAGTTTATTGACGGCCATTTATGTTTGTTAAACATTTTCATCATATAAATATGTATCAAAATGTTTTGGTCTGCAATATTTCTTATTTAATAAATATTTTTCAAGCAAATGGAAATTGTTATCATAATTCCATCTGAAACAATGGAACAATCATATAAATATGAAATACAGGCATTTCACAGATAAAGTATAGTTAGCGTTGCTGCAGAAATAGGATTAAAATTCCAAGCGGGGCTATTGTAATACATATTATTGAAAAGGGAAATCTTAGACTGGCTGAAACTTATGTCCAAAAGATATATGAAGAATTGCCCCTAATTGAAATTGCAGCATTTTAAGAACTTACCAGGGTTTATCTATTCAAAACTAGCTACAGTTCATAAGATGCGAGGCATTTATAAAATAGTGAATCAATATTAACAACGAAAGCATATCTATACAAGGATGGATAAAAACATTAATGCCTGGTGTAAACGGGTAGGAGGTTCTATCAATTATGGTCCTACTCTCCATTGATTTATATGGTGACCTAAACTCTTTCCCTCATTATCTTATACGCAATCTGGGCCAATAAGGGCCGTTAAGAAAGGGGACCATAATCCCTGGGGGACCATCATTTCTTTCACACCTGGTCACATTTGCTCAGATTTATCGGCCGGCGTGGGGCCGATTGAGTATCCTGCTGACAATTGCATTCAGTTTTGAACAGAATATTTAATCTGTCGGCCGCCGGGCAATGAATCCGAGCAAATGTGGGATAACCAATTAACGAATATCTACAGACTGCTCATCTCTTGTATAATGGTACTGTATATGTCTATGAATTCCGTCTAAAAGAAGACGTTCTCTAAAACTTTCTAATGGAATACATGTATAGGACTAGAAACACAATGCAAATTCACGTTTATGCAATATAATTTCTTTTTTATTAAATTCAATCTTACAACACTTTATGGAGCTGTTACGTTAGACCACGTGGACTCACCGTTCGCTACAGTATGGATACGTTTTGCAGATGGCAGGGCTAGACATGGACATACGGTTGGCTAATAATCAAATAGTTTTAAAGCAGGATATTCCGAACGGTGAGCCCACACGGCCTAGTGCAATAG